ATTTGGTAATCATTCGTGGCAGGGAAAACTCCTCTAGTGTTCTAAATATGTATTTGGTAATCATTCATGGCAGGGAAAACTCCTCTAGTGTTCTAAATATGAATTTGGTAATCATTCGTGGCAGGGAAAACTCCTCTAGTGTTCTAAATATGTATTTGGTAATCATTCGTGGCTGGGAAAACTTCTCTAGTGTTCTAAATATGTATTAACTATAGAAAAAAATTTTATTTTCCTTGTTTTTGAAAAACTTTATTGTTCCAGCTGATACCTTTATCACCCTGGCCTGATTTTACGTATTTATGTTCCTATATGTATGATAAATTGTCATCGATGAGAATAATTGTGTTTTCTTACGTCAACAGTCAATGTGATGTGGTCACATGGAATTTTTATAAAACTACCGACAATTGATCATTTCTCATAATCATAAGTTATGACATTTTGAAAATAAGAAGTAATTCTTTTTCCCTTGATGAATAAAAATCCCGACTCAATCTCAAAATATCCAAACTACATTATACGAATTTAGTTGTTTGTTCCCCCAACCCTTCTCATGATAAAATTAGGTCAGGATTATATTTCATTATCTCAGTTAAAAGACAATAAAATGGGTGTTTTTCCACATAACAATTACTCATAATTTGCCTTAGTTAAATGACAATAAAACGTAGAGATTTACACAACATTTTTCAAAAGTTTTCCGGTTGGCGGCATTTTTACGCCTTTGAACATCAAAAACCAGGGTTTATTGATAATTTTATATTTATTATTTTACAAAAAATTACAAAAATTTTTAAACCGGCTTTTTTTTATTATACTATTTACTTCTTACTTTATCGAAACGTATTAACCTTTGCTTTGTCCATGCTGTAAACCATCTAGACTCTCTATAGTTCCCATCATCCGCCATTGCCATTTTAGGACGAATCATCAGTATCTGACCGTTATAGAAGACGACACGGGAATTGTACGTAACGTTACGGTGCATCACGGGCATACCAACATCCACCAGTATACCACGTGTAGAGGGAGAGGAGAGAAGATGAACCAGAACCTCCCAACAATGGAGAAGAGTGTCAGATTCATAGAAATGATCTTCACAACTATATCCAGACACTTCAAGCTCAGGGCCTGTTCTATATTTAGCTCCAGCTTCCTTGGCTAAATCTATACTTGTTAGAATTCTCTCTAGATTTCCTGTAAAATCCAGGGCCCATTGATTCAGGGTGCAGACAGCTACAACGACCTGAATAAAGAGTTATTAGCTAAAAAGTGCCATAACCGATCCACAACTAATTCAAGTAAAATAGTCTTGGCTTTTATATATAAGGGAAAACACGTCACCTAAACTTCATAATAAGCGACTCGTAAAACTACAGAAAAGAAGGCAATAATTGTCGAGGTTAGTTATGATTTCTAGATTTAAACAGATCTGCTTCCAAAGTTTATCATGCACGGATTAAAGTTTATTGTTTTTATTATGTTTCATACTAGGGGTGCTATGGAGATGACTCACCACAGAAATGCCTCAAAAAACGACCTCATAAAACTTATTTAAGGTCGTCTTCTCTCAATTAAGAAAAAATATTTTTCTAAAATTATTTATAGCATTAGTTTAGGATAGGTTAGGTTGCGCCGCAGGCTACGGAGGGGGCGGAGTGTTGCGGCTAGAACGGCCGAGCGCTGCTGCTAGGGGCTGTGCGCTGCGGCTAGGACAGACTAGGGGCCGAGCGCTGCAGCCATGGCTGTGAAACTCATTAGAAAATAGACTTTTCATTTTAAGTTGAGAGAAGACGTCATTAAATTAGATTTATGAGTCCATTATTTAAGGCATTTCCGTGGTGTGGCGTTTTCATAGCACAGTTTGATATGTGTATAATACAAAATTTGAAAGGTTACTTATTAAATTCCTCTTTTTAAGCCAAAACTGTAAAATTTGTGAAAAGAGAATAAAGAATCTGTCTAGCTCTATTAACAAAACCCCATTGAGACAAATAATTTAAACCAAATCTACCGTTCAGTGAAAAACCTTCAAAGATAAGTATTGACTCCAAATATTTTTGAAAAATTAGCTCAAAAAGATAATTTTTCTACTTGAGTCGCCCTTTTCTACATTTGATTAATAATACGACAAAAATTAAATAATTCCGATTGGTTCTGTAAAAATTAAACGTTATGTAATTATCATTTGACTTTAAGGTATAGAAACAATTGACTTGTTCCATTTTTTCGAGTTTCGTGGCCAAATTTTCTTTATTGTTTTTAGAACTAATATTACCTTGTGCCCCATTCTGAACTTCTGTAATTTTCCTGGTTTCCTTTTAATCCGTTTTAGGCAGATTTCGTCTTCTCCACGCCCTACTCTGCATACAACTAAACCATCCTGGTCTGAAAAATGTTTGATCAATAAATCTATCCAATAAATTCTCCTGCCCCGGGGGATTATAGACAATCTTAGCCAGTCTTGCCAATCACGAGATACAAAAAAATACAAATTTTCAACATGTTTGCTCAAATTCTTTAATAAATGTTCAATTTTAACAATTCTTGGAAGACGACATTTGTCACAGCACTACGTAATCGTATTAACGCAAGTATTTTCAACACAATAAATAGAAGTCTAGCTGGACAAGAAAAAATATTATTTTAAAAATATCAAAAATACATTACAATGATACTATGTGTAGAATCGGGAAGACGACATCTAGTGACAGCGCTATTAATAATATCATATCTCAATCAAATTTTAAAATCACAATAGCATATGGATTGTAAAACTGGAAGATCTTTTACCTTATTGAAAGACGATAATTATATCTTATAATACACCTCATTTATTTACATGGCAAAAAGATGCAAGGATTCGAAAGATGCAAAATCTAGAATAGATGGATCTTTTAAAATCTTATAGAATGATTGTTGGTCACAGCCCAATGCAAGATCAGACACGTTTTTAACCACATATCCAAAATTAAAGAAAACAATTAGATTTTATTGTGAATCTTCCAAAGTTTTGAAAACTCGTTCACAAACTCTGCAACCACGTGCTTGTTGCTGGTGATGATCACGTTCTCGTTGTTCCCTGTCACAGCGGTCTGGGTCCAGTTGAAGGACCCGTTGAGGAGGATGGATGAGTCTATGATGACGAACTTGTGATGCATGTGGTGCTCTTGCTTCCTTCCTCTCACAGGGACACCCAGCATCCTCAGCCTGTTCACCTGTGGTCAATATACGAAATCTTTTTTTTAAACTACAAAATCTAGCAATACAGTGGGACAGCTATACAACTATGGAATGTGAATATGAATATTAGACAGAAGCCCAAGGAAATTACGTGCGCCTGGCGCATTAAATTACAAGACAAAGAGAGCCTGTTCTAGCCGTGGCACTCGCCCCCCTAGCCTGTCCTAGCCGCGTCGCTCAGCCCCGGAAATTGTCTTATAGCCGCGTCGCTCAGCCCCGGAAATTGTCTTAACCTAACCCTAAAATATATACTAATCGCTCTCTTTTTGTAATTCACGCGGCAAGTGCAAGTAACTTCCTTGGGAAACTACCTGAATATTAACTAAGTCATGACTTTAAATAAGGGGGGGGGGGAAGGCAAGCCGCGCCCATATAGCCTACATCCCGCAATTTAATCACAAACCTTGAAGGTGGGGAGAAATTCAATCTTTACCAAAAAATAACGCAATTTTGCGTGCAATTCGGTTTTAATTATCTAAAATCATATAGATAGATGGATAGATAGATTTTGAAAATCTAAAACCGAACTGCACGCAAAACTGTGTTATTTCTAATAAATATAATTTCTCCCTTCCTTCAAAAAAATGTTTAGAGAAGAATAACATCATCAGACATGTACAAAATATTACATTTTCGGAGAAAATCGCAAGACATTTTGCCGGACGGTATTTGGCCGTGTGGCTAAGGAAGCGCTACGTCGCAAGTCTATGTTTGTGAATAAATTGCGGGATGGAGGCTATTACAGGTGCGGTTTGCCTTCCCCCCCCCCCTCTTTGAATAGTCCAATGAACATGAAACACAGCAGTTGTGCACTTTTACACAAACCCATTTCACTTAACAAGTTGATTTTCAGTTTGATGGGGCCACTGCGTGCAGGTAATGTAGATTTATAGATAAAGAAAAATCACCGAGTATTAAAGTTTATTTGTATTTGCAGTACACATTTGACGTCACCAAACATATTCATTTAGTACCATAACTATGGCTAATGAGAAACAAGCAAGGTTCTTTGGAACCAAGGTTCTTTGATTCCAAAATAAATATTCGCTTTAAATAGTAATCACTCCGTTTTTTCGTAGAAATTTGTATTAAAAGTTTAGTTGAAATTTTGAAAGAATTCTCTGTACGTTCTTCTTCTCTCTTTTGTCACATATTTTTCTTTGTTCATTTCGTGGACAAATCTTTCCGTTCTGTTTGTTTCTCAAAGACGTGGCTTGATCAGTATACAAAATCTATATATACACCTTGCTTGTCTGTATGGTTGTAACCAAGAAACGTCAAAACGGCTGAACTGATCGGGTCCAAATTTTGTGTGGGACCTCACAGACCCCAGGGAAGGATTATAGAAGCTCAGAATTGCAAAAACGTTGTCTCCAAAAATTTAGATTTTTAGTAAAATTTTGAAAATCCACGAAAAAAAATTGTTAATTAGTTACAATCTTTATAGGTTGTTTTATCGAAGAGAAAATCCTGAATAAAAATTGAGATAGGAGATGGGCGCAAAGCGCCCGGCCTGAAATAATAAAAAATAGTATAATGAAAAATTAGAAGTCAGATTTATCAAAAAAAAATTCCTACCTCACGTCCATTCTCCTGAATACTGACAAAATCCACAATAACTCGGATAATGATTCCTCGCCTCATGCAGCTCACCAGGACATTACCAAACTCAGGACAGGTAAATATATACAGGCAAACATCTACAGATACCTTCGCATTCCTAGCAAAAATTGGGAATCTTATAAAATTATTAACGAAATTGCAATAAGTTTAATATTTTGAAAATATGTATGAAAGGGACTGTAAGCGTAATTTCAAGTTACCCTCCATTCAAAGATGGCAATGCCCGATTCACAACGATACCCTTAAAAGCGTTTTCTGATCAAGTTCGAATAAGATATCAATGTTTATAATCTAGAAAACTAATTACCTTGTGTATTACTTGCAGAGTGACTTGCGCATTAGAAAAACGACAATATCTTCCACATTATTGCTCAGATAATGGTTTTTAAGGGTTTCGTTGTGAATCAGAAATTGCCATCTTTACATGGAGGGTCACTTGAAATTGCGCTTATATATAAAGCGTATCATTTTTTCATTCAGTCAGATAAAACAACAAAAAATGCGTTCTGATTTCTAAACCTCCCATCCCATATGTCTCAACAGAGAAAGGCATCGTTTTGGTTCATTAAACATTAAAATGCTCCACAAAAATCTGGAATTGTATCAAATTAAAAATGACATGGACCATAAGTTTGCTTTATTGCATTGTGCAACGTTTTACCTTTGCCTAATATATTAGTCTTATAACATATTTTTAGCGTCGGCTAATAACAAGACAAAGAATTGAAATCAACTAAATTTCTTTCTTTCTAAATACAACACAAGACCAACGGGTTTAAACAAGGTGGTTTATATCAAATGAATAAATATCAGCTGCCGTCTTGAGGGAACTCTACGGCAGACATTGAGGCGGAGAGTAAGACAACTTGTCCGCCACATATTTTTATTTTTGTTTTTAATTTAAACAATAATCTATAAATATATAGTTGATATCAGATGCAAATATTTTGACTTTCTATATTTCTTGTTCTTTATTTTCTTCTTGTTCATACATCTTCCATCATATTTAGGCTAATTTTGAAAAAAAAACAAGATATTTTGGGACATCTGAGCAGTTGCCATGCTCTTAGCTTAAAACCAGGTTGAGAGGCACCAGCTTTCCTATCTGAACTCTGTTTTGTTTCGTGTGTTCTTTATATCTGACCCATTGCTGATTTAGTTAATGGATTTATTGCTTACACCAGGAATGCTGACACAAAATTGATCAGGCTGCTTTCAGCATTATATTTCTTGACTGGGAAATTTTCTATGTTTTGAGCCCTCTCCAAGTAGTTCTTGTGACATCGAGTTGTGGAGCAGGAAGGAAAAAGATAAGTTTGGAGAGTATGAGGGATTTCAGTAGAAAATCTCTACTGCACCGCCGCGCTTATGCAAAATGGGGAGTTGGAATCCTTAAAGCCCCACCAGGTGGAATCTTCAATAGTAGCCCAGTCCTCACAGACGGCCGAGTAGAAAACCAGTATCATTGTGCATGGCTTGTATACTTATCAGGTTTCATACTTCTGTGTTCCTTCTTTCAGCTGAGATGATCAGCCACAGAAAGCTGAAAATGTAATTCTTGTTTCCTAGTGAGAGAGAGGGGAAGAGTGAGAGAGAACCCACTCCTTCACATGTTAAAATTCTATGTTTCGCTACTCCCCTGTAGAATTAGTCATGAACAATTCTACAATAAGCTCTTTCTAACTGTGAAGCCAGGATATACATTATACAATGGGCAGGTGCAAACCCTACCGAGAGCAGAAAACAACTGGCGTAAAACATTAGTCCAAAAAAAATGAAGAAGATTGGTTTTATCATAAAGATAAACCAGAATTGAAAATGGTCAATTTTTTAAAGTTAAAAAACATGCATATCTCGTTCATAAATCTATAAAAAAGAGTCACTTTAAAGGAATTGAGTTTTTGCCACAAACTATGATTTTCTAATCCCTATTTCTTTGCAACCCAATGTTGTATACCTTAGCTATTTCAAACTATAAATTATGATATACTAAACATTAAATAATCTATGGTCAAAATATCAAAGTTTTACACCATCAGATTGCAAAGATATAGAGATTATAAAATTGAGTTTGTTACAGTGACTCAAATCCTTAGGCGTATTAGTTCCTTTAACCTACCTGACGTAACCTAGAACCTTGGCCAGGTTGGAATCAGAATTAATTACCACTCCACCTCCCTAAACATAACACATGATGAGATTAATTCTTAAAAGGACTGTATGCGTAATTTCAAGTAACTCTCAATTTATTGACTGGCCCAAAAGTATTACCCAAAAAGCTTTGTCTGATCAAGAAAGCATGAGATAAAAATTATTTTTCTTTTTGAAAATTTATTGTTTTCAAATGTGGTCTCTCTGTACACTGTACAGTCACTTGCGGATTTTTTTGCTTCAGAAACAAACGGAGGAAATTTTAAAATTAAATACTTTTTAAGCTAGAAAAATGGTACTATCTTTTACATTATTGATAAGGTTTAAAAAGGGTAAGGGTGTGAATCGAGCACACCCCTCTTTATTGACGGTTACTTGAAATTACAATGACAGTCCCTTCAATATGTTCTTCTAAAACATCAAATGTCTACCTGAAAAAAATTCTCTACAAAATCTTGATTAAATGTTTTGGTGGTATCCACAGGAAAGAAGAGCACCTCATTTATCTCCTCTTCCTCCCTTCTACGGGAGTAAAAGAGGTAGGTTTGGTAAACAAGACTGGAGACAGCAACTGCTCCAGTCAACTTTATCGTCCAATCAAACAAATCTCTCATTGTTTGAATAATCCCAGCATAAGCGAAATTATGAAATCTGAAAAATTAATATCTTCAAATTTCAAACATACATGAATTGGATGATAATTCCAATTAAGTTTCAGTCAGTCTTTTTAACAGATGAAAAAAATGTCAGAAAACATAATAAACTTGATCACGGAGCATGTTTGCTCCAAAGTTTTTCAAACTCCTTGACGAAACAGGAGACGACCTTGGTGTTGTTGGAGATGACAACGTTCTCGTTGTTCCCCATCACAGCAGTCCCGGTCCAGTTGAAGGACCCGTTGATCAGGAGATCGGAGTCTACGATACAGAACTTGTGGTGCATCAGGAAGGGTTGCTTCTTACCACGCACAAAGACTCCTCCCTCGCGCATGTTTCTCAACTAAACAAATTCTAAGTCTCTAAAAAATAGAACGACAGCCCACTTAAAGGGACTATATATAAGCGTAATTTTATAAAATTTGATCATACTGTAGCCAGCCACCCTCCCCCCCTCCCTGATCTATTCTACAGTACTAGATGAGTATTCAGAGTGATATAAAGTATCCCTGATCTTATCTGAGGCAGTATGTGAGATCTCGGAGTTATACAAAAACCAGAAGCTTGATTTTACCAGACACCCTAGGGGGCTGATCTTAGAGCTAGATTTTACTTCACGCCCTGAGAACCTGATCCTATTTGAGGCACTATATAATATATATGATACAAACTCAAAAGTTGATTTTACCAGGGTCTGCTCTTAGTACAATGAGTTCTGGAGTTAAATAAAACCTAGAGCTTGATTTCACATAAAACCCTGAGCGCTTGATCTAAAGTACTTTCAGTTCTCGAAGCGATTAAAAACCTTTAGAGCTAGATTTCGCTTGACACCCTGAGCGCTTGATCTAAAGTTCTTTGAGAACTCTGAGAGATAAAAACCTTAAAACAGCCACCCTGATTGTATGAGTTCTTGGAGTTAAATAAAACCTAGAACTAAATTTTGAATTGAAACCCTGAGCGCTTGATCTAAGAGAATATGAGTTCTCGGAGTGATACAGACCCAAAAGCTTGATTTTAACACACAACCTCCCGGTCTGATCTTAGTACAATGAAATCTTGGAGATAAATAAAACCTAGATCTAGATTTTGCATGAAATACGATCTCAAGGAATACGAGTTCTCGGAGTGATACAAAAACCGAAGAGATAGAAATTACCTGGCACCCTGAGTTTCCAATATTACTGTAGTCAAGGATCAAACGAACTTTACAACCACGTTTCCTGCACTCTAATATCTCCCTGGCTTCCACAAATCAAACGTAAAGCGAACTAATAATATTTAGATAACCAAGCCAAAACACAGTTTCAACGGAATGGACAAGTTTGAGAGTTATGAGAGCATAAAAATAAAAATATCATAGCTGTTGACGATCAACATTATTTTTTTTTCAGGCGCTTAAAGAATACAAATACTAGGAGGGAAGGTGGGGTGGAGGTATTCGTTAAAAAAATTGTTAAATATATGTAAGATGTTCGAATTTTTATCTCTGCTCTGCCGGATTGAGATTTTCATGCAAAAAAAAATCGAGAATAAAAATAACAACGACAAGTGTTAATGATGTGGCAAACGACAACATAGTAACATTTTTATCTCCTACAATACCTTCTTTGAAATATATAAAGCCGAAAAGTTTTTGAAGAAAAAATATATTATTTTTGAAATGTTCCTTGCAAACTCTCTGCAGGTAAATATCATTAAACAGAGATCAATACTCCTTTCTGCCGATCTAAAAACATTGAAATATTAAAAATAGATCTTTTGCTGATCATAATACAGAGATCAATACTCTTTTCAGCCGATCTCTAAATACAGATAAATATAAAAATTGATCTTTTGCATATCACTGCTTTTAAGTTGATTAATATACTAACAATTGATCTTTTTATGAACGTTATAAAATGATCATTTCCCTTTTCAGTTGATATAGAACATTAAAATTTAACAAATAATCTTTTGCTGATCATTATACAGAGATCAATACTCTTTTCAGCCGAACTGATACATTAAAATATTAACAATTGATCTTTTGCTGATCATTATACAGAGATCAATACTCTTTTCAGCCGATCTAATACATTAAAATATTAACAGTTGTTTTTTAATGATCATTAATATACAGAGATCAAAACTCTTTTCAGCCGATTTAATATATTAAAATATTAACAATTGATCTTTAAAGGATCATTATACAGAGATCAAAACTATTTTTAGCCGAACTAAAACATTAAAATATTAGCAATTGTTCTTTTGCTAATCTAAAAACATTAAAATGTAAAAAATTGATCCTTTCCTGACCTAAAGACATGAAAATATAAGCAAACAATTTTTATCTTTTGCTCCTGAAAACCAAAATATCTCCGCCTTGACGCAAATATATTTCAGGATTTTTCCAATTACCCCATCTAAAATGTACAAGTCTAGTGCTACAAAAAAACAAGCTAGTTGTAGATTTAAAACAATTGCGACGCTTCAAAGTCTACCCGGTCTTAAAAATAGGTGCCCAATTTTCCTAGATGTCTGCATCTCTGTGATTTGACCTAATATGACTTAGTAGACGAGCCAAGCTTGATTCTTCATCTAGACTCAGATCAGTAATCGTCTAGAAAAAAAAATTTACATTTTGAAATTTTTTGAAACTGAATTTGATTCATTGGAGTTTTAATGTAAAAACATACTTAAAGCAAAACTATGTAAATATCGTACCAAACCAAACCAACGTTCCTTTTTAATTTGCAATGAAATGTCATTTAGTTTCGTTTTAATTGATTTATTAATTATACAATACAAAAAGAAACCATGATTGTTTTTGCATATAAGAAAACATGAAGTAAATTCAACTTAATAAAGGGAATGCTCCCGAATAAATTACAGGGGTGTGTTGTATAATGAAAAAATTAACAAATATCCGTATAAGACATCATTCACAGTTGTTTACCTTGAATATTTCTCTACTTCTGTATTTTGCTTCATTTATGGGGTTTTACCTTGAATATTTCTCTACTTCTGTACTTAACTTCATTTATGGGTTTTTACCTTGAATATTTCTCTACTTCTGTACTTAACTTCATTTATGGGGTTTTACCTTGAATATTTCTCTACTTCTGTACTTTGCTTCATTTATGGGTTTTTACTTTTAATATTTCTGTACTTTGCTTCTTTTATAGGTTTATACCTTGAATATTTTGTCTCCGATCTGTTGTTTATCGAAGGTATCTATCGTGTGATCTGGGAAGAACAGAACCTCGTTTATCTCCTTCCTCTTTTTCCTCATTATTCTGATTAGGATTAAAGGGACTGTAAGCGTAATTTCAAAGGACCCTCCATGCAAAGATGGGAATGCCCCATTCACAACAGTATTCATAAAAGTATTTTCTGATCAAGTATGAATTAGATATCAATGTTTGTGTTTCTTTACTTTTTAACTTTTCGTTTTGTGGTTTCTCTGGGAAAATGACTTGCACATTTCTTCTTTTTAAGAAGCAACGGACAAACTAATAGTAATAAATACATTTCGAGTCAGAAAAACGACTGTTTCTTCCACATTTTTAGTCAGAATAAGCTTTCAAGGGCACCGTTGTAAATAGGACTTAGGAATTAGTTAATCTTATTTTCTCTCTTTTTCTCCATTAACCTGATTAGGATTAAGGATGAGTAAACCAATTCTCTCTTTTTTATTTATTTTTCAGATTAGGATTTAGAAATTGTTTATCTCATTCTCTCTCTCTTTCTTCATTTACCTGATTAGGATTAAGGATTAACTAATCTCAATCTTTCTTTCTTCATTATTCTGATTAGGATTAGTTTCTCTCATTAAAATTAAATCTTTACCTTTCAACTTCCCGTAAATAAATGATTTTAAAAAGGCAAATATCATATTTCCTAGAAAGTTGGCTACGCCCCTCTGACTCCCTCCCCACTGCACTGTGTACGACCTTCAGTTTAGTGGCTTTAATATCTGGAATGTCCTCCTATACCTGGAGTAAACGTAGTATCCGACTACAGCTGTAGCGGTCAACCCAACCAGTTCCTGACTCCCTAACATAGTGTATCTGTAAATAAGAAAAGACGAGGTAATTTAGGACTTATTGTATTTTACTGAACACAAAAAATCGTGGATTTATTTGATAACATTTTTCAACACTAAAAGTAAATTATAATTTATTAAAATATAGGATGTCAAACCAAACAAGAAAAGTAAGAGAATGAATTTCAGAAGTTTCTGTCATGCTATTTATTGCTTGAACATGCAGCTTTCAAAATATTAAACGTAATTCAAGTGACCCTCAATGCAAAGATGACAATGAACGATTCACACTGGTACCCTTGAAACCTTTATCTGATCAATAATGTTCACGATATTGTCGTTTTTCTAGGTTTTAAAGTGTTCAATTCTGATCATTTCAATATGTTTCCCTACAGTAGAAATAAGTCACTTTTGTCGAGAAGCCACAATAGAAAATAATCAGCTTTCAAAATTATTATTATTATCCAATTCATAAGTGATCAGACAAAGCTTGATACCGTTATAAATCGGGAAAAATAATTTAAAGTCAGCACACACAAGATATTGTAATATTGTATTATTTTCTGCTTGCGCAATCACATAAAAAAGATTACATTTTAAACTGTTAACATGTTGGGACACCGTACCCTGTCCGTATTTGACACACTGATAATAATAATGCAAAGGGTTATTAGTAAATTCCTCACATGTAAGTGAATGAAGGCATGACAATACAGCTACAGGGTTAAACAAAAATTTTAAATGGTTTTCCTAATATTGATCCTCTTACTCACATTCTTCCATTTTTTTTGTTTAGAAACCCTATAAATACAGATTTCTGACTTCCCTGAGCTACAAAAAAGTTCTGACGACTTTTTTTATAATAAAAATAAAAATCACAATAACAGTTATAAATATAATCACACAAAAACTGTTTTTTCTTTTGGTTCTTCATTTTGTGGATTTAACTTTCTGGTATCCTTGTGAAGTATCGGCTGTATTGTGAACACTACTCGATGATCAAAGAATTCCTCGAGCATTTTCTCAACTTCTCGAGCTATTTGACGAATCTTTTTTCCATGCGTACCTAAAATTGTTAGAGCTGAGAAATATCAAAGTCTTCGGGCATGCCCGATTCCCGATCGATAATGTGGAATATCGTCGTTTTTCTGGATTAAATAGGGTTTCAATCTGATCATTTCTAAATTGTTTCTGAAGCGAGAACCCACAAGTGAAAATAAACAGCTTTGAAAAACAAAAACATGGACGATATCAAATTCATACTTGATCAGAAAAAGTTTTAAATGTTACTGTTGTGAATCGGACATGCCACTCTCTCAATATATGATCACTTAAATAACAGTCCTATTACCCAATTAACCGATTTACAACTTTAAAACCAAACAGACCAATTCACAAATTTACAAATCAAATATACCAAATTAACCAATTTACAAATGTACAAATTTACAAACCAAATTAACCAATTTACAAATTTACAAACCAAATTAACCAATTTACAAATTTACAAACCAGATTAACCAATTTACAAATTTACAAACCAAATTAACCAATTTACAAATTTACAAACCAAATTAACCAATTTACCTATCAGATTGGATGACTGGCGACTGTTCCTGGTTTGAATGGACACGCATATTCTCAAAACTGATTTCTCTTCATCAAACTAAAACAAGATTAGGATTGATAGTGCTAGGTTTACTTGCAAGAAATCTAGAGGTTTTCCTGCCATAGGATAGGACTAAGAGTTCTAGGTTTACCTGCCAGAGTTCTAGAATAGGACTAAGAGTTCTAGGTTTACCTGCCAGAGTTCTAGGATAGGACTAAGAGTTCTAGGTTTACCTGCCAGAATTCTAGAGGTTTACCTGCCAGAGTTCTAGAATAGGACTAAGAGTCCTAAGTCTACCTGCTGCCAGAGTTCTAGAATAGGACTAAGAGTTCTAGATTTACCTGCCAGAATTCTAAAGGTTTACCTGCCAGAGTTCTAGGATAGGACTAACAGTTCTAGGTTAATACCAGAGTTCTAGGATAGAACTAGAGTTTTAAAGATTTACAAACCCGAGTTCTAGGAAGAACTGAGAGTTCTAGGTTACCTGCCAGAGTTCTAGGATAGGACTGAGAGCTCTAGGAATATCTCCCTCTAGATTGTTTAATAGTTTACTCTTGACTATATCTAGAACTGCTTGTCTAGGATCTACATCTAGGAGAATATTTGAGGAGAATCTGTGTGAACCTGAACAATACAGAATATAAATCAGAGAGAATCAGGAATATGATCTGAAGTTATCTGGTGTGTGTACCCAGGTACTGTTTAGATGGAGGGGGGTTTAAATGATTTGTAAGTCTCAATCTCCTTAAGTTTAAATTTGACATATTTCATTCTCCCATAATACTTATCATAAATTCAAATTAATATAAAAAAACAAAATATTAAATTAGAAATATTCTTACCAGCCTTAGCCGAGTCTAAAAGATAGTCTCTCAAATCTTTTACACCATCTCCTTTTAACGCAGAGATAGAAAATACATCCCTAAAAACACTAAATTAATTTGTTTTAATGGCATAATTTTAAGTTGCTCTCTCTCCATCGATTACCCCGAATCTTTCAATATTTCAGTGGTTCATCTAGGTTTTCAACTGGGTGAACATTGTACACCCATAACATCCCCAAAACATTAGACACCAAAAATCTGCCACAAATATTATCTAAAACCATAAAATCTGCCACATAAAGTAAATTAGTCCATAAAATTTAACACAAAAAGCACTTTAAAGTTGTACACCTGCCACAAAATCTAATGAACCCATGCAGTATTTATAATAAAGTTTTCTTTGTTCTTCAGATTCAAAATCAAGGAGCAATTACAAATAAACGAATTTCTAAAAGGGATTGTTTCTATATTTAAAATCAAGTTTATAATGTGCTTCAAAAATAATAATCTCCGACCGCGGCGAAAAGGAGCAAACAAGTTGCTTATGGAAAATGGTGATCAGATACAGGTTTTTTAAATGATACAGTTGTAAATCTATAATTTCATTAAAGATTGACATTAAACAATCCTTTTTAAATCCAAAACATTATTTTTTTTATCCCGACCTGAACCCCGGCCAGCCCAGCAGTCCTTGTACTAGTTCCAGAGCTCTCTCATCCTCTACCATCCCGTCCTTGGCCTCGTTGATTATACTCTCCATTGACCTCCTCTCAACCTCCATCCTCTCCTCCTCCGCACACAGCAGAGACCTCCGTTTCTTGTGCTTCAAGTAGGACTCAACACTCCACTGTAATAGATGTTAGATACAGGGTGTCCCACAAAACATTAAAATTAAGATGAGACTTAAAGATCGTCTTTGATCTTTGAAATAATTTGCGACATTCACTCGTCAATCTTTTTTATTGTCATGTGTTTATAAAGGTTGACGCATGACATATAAGTCGGTTTTATAAAAATAAAATACTCACTTTTGGATCAGTTTTAGATATTTTAATCTCTCCAGATTCATTATCCAGCCGGTTACAGGTCAGTTTACGGATTAAATCAAATATTCTTCTAGATCTAAACAGAATTATTGTAATTTTCATTTTATTTTTCATTCAAAGCACCTTTTGTTAACTGAGCTGGGAGCTTTTGGGTTGGATATTTATAATCTCTATATCCAGTCCACTCTAGGGACTTTTAATATGAGGATAAATGCATTAACTCCTCATTTCAGTCATCTCTTCAGTATACGATTACCGTGCGGGATATCGAATAGAGATTAAATTAATCTGCAGATTAACAAAAGATCATCAAACATTGAGCTCGATATCCACAATAAAAGAGTTCCACGCTCAGAAATCATAAAATTGTCCTGCAGCGTTATGACATAATTTAATAAATCCAAGCTAGCCAAACCCTGTTGTTTTTGTTGAAAACTAAGAGAATAATACTTGATCCAGAGCTGTGCGATAAGCACTTATGCATTTTAGCTCTAGGCGTTTATGCAATTACGCCCTTATCAATAATTTTTGCTGATTTTTAAAGTTTTTTCTCTCGTTTTTCTTTTATTGAATATATTATCTTTGCTAAAATAAAAGGGCGACCAAGCCACTTTACAAATTCATAAATCCATAATTTTTGCAGATTTACTAAAAGTTTATCTCTATTTCTTCTTTCATGGAATATTTGAAATCACGTTTGTTATTTTATCTGTAACTATAGAGGGAGAACAAGCCACTCTATACCTTTAATTATATTTTGAGTGTATAAGTGTTCTTTTGTTTTTACTAAAGTATTTGAGAAGAATAATTTAATAAAACAAAAGCCCAAAAAAATAACAAGTTTCCCATCTTTGAATTAAGAACACAAAAAAATAATGAAATAAGATATTTCAAAAAGTTATTTCAATACAATTTTCAATTTGCATAGACTGTGTAAATACTTAAATACTTTAAATTACTGAATGTAACCGGCCATTCTGGAGGGTAACATTAGTAAGATTATACAGTAAAATTCAAAGCATAAAAAATAATGATAAAGGAATAAAAAAATCTTACTCTGGCATTGAATCTATTTTGTTAAGAACAAGAATGCAAGGAACTCTATGTTGGTATTTACACAACAATCTTAATATATAAAATTTTAACTCAGTGAATCAGAAAAATATCTGTAAGTACAGTAGGACCCATAAATCTATGGAATAGGAAACGACATTTCCGCAATCTTTGTTTATTTGATGTTATCATAAAGCAAATAGTTTTAAGACTGAGAGTTCTAGGTTTATACCCGAAAATATCAATTCTCTCAGCTAGACAGCTCATCTAATGTTTGTGTGCAGTGGGGAGGTGACTTCTGTCACTGGCCTAGACCTCGATGTCTCGATCACACTAGACTTATGTCATAATCGGATATACATTAATTTCCACCCTTTGGTGGTTATTTTTGATGGGGTCTCTGCCTTGATTTCCTTCTATAAATGACGCTCTTCTCAGGCCGTTCCTTCCATAAACTACATTGGTCGAAATCTTGACGTCTCCTATATTGGCGTCAAATGTACGGAGAAATATCTATCTATCAGATAAGAATTAAGCATGAGACATCTAGCGGCCAACATATCGTCCCCTAAAGTACGTGAAATACACGACCACTTTCTATGGAGAAAACGGGCTCTGCCGGAGTTCTCAACTCCATGGCTAGTAACAGCGGATTCCTTTCAGTTTTTTACAATTTGCCGAGCGAAGAGGAGCTAACGCTGAATTTAAACAGTACTATGTGAGTGTTATTACGTGTTCATGATGGATTCTGGAAGATTGCTTCTGCTCTCGCACCTTACCGTCTTAGTTTTGGCGAGTGCAGACTTTCTTGCCGTTTTCTTTTTTTAAAAATCTTTTTAAATCTTCCAAAATCCACAAACCCTGAGCTACCGCCATAGTATTTTTAGCTAGCTTTTGTTACTGTAGAGCTCGTAGATTGATAGAATTAATATTTTTTACGTAATGTCCTCAAAATCTCTAAAATGGAGTAAATTAGTGAAATGAGTCTGTGAGTGTGTACACTACACAACCTATTGTGAATTTGTGCTTCATGTTCATTAAACTGTTTAAAACTATAACTTTGGTTTAATATTCGACAGTTGCATAGGTCTCACTGTATTTGAAAACGATTAATCTCATAATTGTTCAACAGAAGAGTTATTGATGAAATATAATGATATTAATGAAAAAGCTATGTATTCATGAGAAAAAGAGTTAATTTTTTAATATTTTCCTTAGAACTTTTTTATCAATTCCTTCTCTAACGTATCTGTTGGAGACATCGTGCAGCACTGATGGTAAATAATATTATTCTCATCATTTAAAGCGAAAAAAATCTTAAAAGACAAAATTATCATTTTAGTAATAATAAAACTTTGAATAATCAAAAACATTTTAAATATAATAAAGCATAACAAATTTGATTTTTAGAAATGGTACATTTGATAAAAAATTAAAAAAGCACACAATTCTATTATTTAATCCCTAAAAGCAAATCTGCTTCTTGACAAGATAGTTCTGGATCCTTGAGAAGAGAATCCTCGAGTTTAAACCTCCTCGCCTCCTCCTCATCCACTACTCCAGGTGTATCCAGGAACACAAGCTGAGTTGATCCTTGGGTTAGAACTGCTCGAGCATTCCTCCGTGTTGTGTTGTTTTTGCAGGACGGAGGACAAACCTGAATATAAACATTAGATAAGGACAAGATGCAGAGAGGCATACCAATGAGGGGGGGGGGGGGCACCTTACCTTCTATAAAAAGATTGAAGTGGGGATAAATGGTGGAAATTACTCGACTTTGTCAACGATTTCTACCTCTAGGATTTCATAATGGGGTAGGAGATTATATAAATATAATGAAGACGCGTTTTGATTTGAATTTGGGTTTATATTAAGCTTTTAAACAGCATAGATACACAAAACCGTGAGAGCAAAGAGAAGCAGTCGATTTGAAAGGCTTCTCTTTAGTACTTGTAACCACAAATTCAAAAGAAATCCCGGATGGAAGAAATTCAATTTTTAGGGAAAAAAATTTTGTTCAAAAAAGGATATTTTAGAAAAAATAACCTGTTTTCCCATTAATCGGTTGATGAGTGTACTTTTCCCACTGTTCGGAATTCCCAAGATGGAAATATTTAAAAATTTCCCGTCCGTCCTGACGTCGTTGTTCTCCAGGTAATGTTTATGCTTGACAGGGTTGGTGTTGGAGTTCCCTATCTCCGGGAGGGAATTGAAGTTCTCCAGCTCATCAATACTTTTCCCACTACTCGGAGAATATAACAAAAATGTTCTTCTCGGCAGATAAAACAGCTGAACTATATTTTTCCGCAGCATGTTTCTGTAATTGTAAATTTATGTTTCCGTTCTGAAAATTTATAAATATATCACATATATCGGAGTGCAGGGGTAACATAATACAACATAATAAAATATAATAAAACATGTTCAATACACGAATAAAATATCTATAAATGCCTTCTGAAGTTTACGACAAAGGAAGCCAGAAATTCCTGTAAATTTTGCATTATAAAAATAATACTGCATGAAAAATATCTTATTCTTTTTCATATAAATGAATTGATTGCAAATATTCAAATGAATATCCTAAAAAATTATTTTAAGCAGCATATTGCCCTGACCAATTCTTAAATAAAAAATCAGTATTAAAGGGACTGTAGACGTAATTTCAAGTGATCCTCTTAAAACGTGTCAAGTTCTGACAATTTAATTCATTGTCTCTAAAGCATAAAACATGCAAAGCACTTTATAAGAGGGAGAACAAATTCCGGGAGAATAATTGGAAATTGTTCAAGTTTCCGAGAGAAAAGGAAGAATATTCAATTGATCCCTGTTCAGATTAAAGTTTAATTAGTACCGTTGTGAATTAACATGCTACAGTCCCTTCAAGAAGATCGCTTTTTAAAAAAAACAAAAGAATTAAGCATAGACAGACTAAATTAAATATATTCATCACAATTTACCATGTTTAAATAAGGGTAAAAAACGCCACTAATATCAAATCTTGAAATCATACAAACCATACAAAGTATAAAAAATATGCTTTAACAAAAAAACATTCATTACTGAAATAATTTTTAAAATCTACCTTCACTCATAAAGGTGACCCTCATAAAAACATTCTAAAACATTCTTACATTGATTATGGAAACTACCCTGATCAATTTAAACAACTATTTTTGATATTTTGACTGTCATCAAACTAAAAGGCTTTTATCAACATTTTTATAAAATCATTTTGTAAGGGTTACCCTGAACATAAAATTAAAACATAATATTAAATCTACATATATGTATAATTAATATATATCCATATTAAATATCTAGCGTTAAAATTTAACCTTTGTTGACTAAGGAAAAATGTATATATTGCTTAATGGTTGAGATTAAGTAGAACTAGGCCGTTCTTTAAGTAAAAGAATGAAAAATAATAAACATAGCTTTGTTCCAAAAAGAGAGAATGGATATATTTTGAAATTAAATGGTATTCATTTCCCAGGAAAAAATGAGGCCATGTTTAGAAATAGCAAAAAAGACAATTCATTCTAAAAAAGTTTCTGTTTAATTTCTGAAAGAAAGAAACCGCTTTCCAGGTTTGACTCCGCCCGGCATTGAACTGCTCCCCAGCAACATTCTTGCCTTCTCCTCTTCTCCAGGTGCCTGAAGAGATACTTCATAAAATCAAATCAAATCAAATCATATGCACCCCCACCCCCCATACTTGAAATGAATTTACATTCATACTTTTTAACTACAAGCAAATAATCACAATTTACTATGAAATCTAGACCCTCCTTTAACCAGAATTGATTGTTTAAATTGGTGAGTCCATGATTCGTTTATGAGAATTCTAGATATATAAATAAACACACACAATTAATGATCAATCATGGAAAAGGTAAAGAGATGGTGAGAAGGTATAGATAGAGGTCAGTTCTTCAGTAGGATCAGAGGATAACATATATTATTATAAGGATGAAGAAGATAGTAAAGAGAGATTATCAATATTATAAATAAATGATTTACAGTAATTTTGTTTTAAAAATTTAACTTGCAAAACTATCTTAGAACGGGAGCAAAAGACGGATTTCTAAGGATTGAAGGTTGACTGGAGTTAGAAAATTTTTGCGCAGAGTTTATTTCTTTCTATATGTAAAAAATCGTTAAAAATTTATCCTGTAAAACTTAAATGGGTCGTTCTTGAAAATAATGCAGAAGTCTGAGCAAAAAGTGTATCACCTGTTCATCCTTAGCGTTTGCCTTGTTCCTGAGGAACTTCTGCTTGATAGCCTGGGTGACCAGGGACTCCCTTGTTCGGGACTTGACGGCAAGGAGTAGATCTAACCAGGTCCAGGTCACGTTATGATATTCTAGAGTTGGAACCTGGAGCTGGAAATCTGCAACATCAAGGATCTGGTTCTTCTCCTTCTCCCCCTTGTAGGAGACCTTGATGGGCACCTCGGGGATCTTGATGTAGATGAAGAGCTTGTTCCTCTCAGCTCTCTCCTTCATCTTCTCCACGTCATCCTTCTCTATGTTCGGACATTCAACGTAGAAATTCGTATTCTGAAACAAAACGGCATCAATTTAGTGTAGCATTGTAGCAATTCTGTTGAACATTATATGCAATGCCCGATTTACAAGAGTGCCCTTGATTAAAAACGTGGAAGATAAAGCAATTTTTCTGACTAGGAAAAGTGTTTTTTTTCTGGTAGCTTCTCAATTATTTCCTATAACTAAGCAAGAAATGCGGGAGTAACTTTAGCAGAGAATCCAGAAATGAAAATAAAAAGGTAAAAAAAACACATAATTTTATAATGCTACTAAACAGACAAAGCTTTAAAGGTTACCGTATTACCGTATTGAATTACATTTATAGTCCCTTAAAACCGTTTCAATCATACGTAAGTCCTTTATCCTCGCAAAAACAATCACATAATAAAATAACCAAGCTAGAGGAAGGAAGTAGATAAAGAAATTCCGAGTGAAAAAAGGAAAATATTTATTTACTAGCTTAGGAACCCGGCACTGCCCAGGTTACTCAAAGTTACAACCGCCATTTACTCACACTTCTACTGGGAAAATAAATTCTCGCTTTAAAAGTCGACCCCCTTATTTTGGAATCTCAACACGAAGAACATTCCATTGTTTCTCCAGAGCTCAACAATTAAAACTTGAGGCAAATTAGTCAAGAAATTCCCGAGTTATGATCGGAAAAACGAACAAAAAAACAGAGAGACAAACAGAGATTACAACTTGATGCAACTTGTGTTATTGTACGGGACAGAAAAAATTTACTTTTTCTTTACTGTTCGAGTTTTAAAGAAATTGAGTCTTAACCACAAACTCTGATTTTTAATTCCCTTTATCTGAGACACCCAATGTTGTAGACCTTAGATAAGTCAAACTATGAATTCTGTTTATCAAATAATCTAAGTTAAAATGCCAAAAAAATTGGGTTTCAAAGATAAAGGCATTATAAAGGCAGAAATGAAGCTTTCTTGGGCGGACCGCCTATTTTTTAGAGTCTCCAGAAACGGAGCTGTCTTAGGCAGGCCGCCTAATTTTCAGAGAGTCTCCAGAAATGGAGCTGTCTTGGGCAGACCGCCTGGTTTTTAGAGAGTCTCCAGAAATGGAACTGTCTTAGGCAGACCGCCTAAATTTCAGAGAGTCTCCAGAAATGGAGCTGTCTTGGGCAGACCGCCTGGTTCTTAGAGAGTCTCCAGAAATGGAACTGTCTTAGGCAGACCGCCTAAATTTCAGAGAGTCTCCAGAAATGGAGCTGTCTTGGGCAGACCGCCTAGTATAAGTCTTCTCCCTAGGGTGACCAGTTCGGTTAGCCCATGGATACGTTTCGGCGGCTAGGAGCGCCGACCCCTATTTCATTGAATGATGGGTTGTCCTTTAATAATAATAATAATAATAATATTTGATTTTGTGGCATATACTCCGTTTCTATCTTTAAATTTCTATATTGATCATATTTTTTATCTGTTTAAAAACACAAGTAATTCACCTTGGATTTTCTTAATTTCTTCTTCTGCTTCTTCTCTATCTCGAAGTCCTCGTCTATGATCTCCGCGTCCTTCTCAGGGAAAGCGAAGGTCATCATTTTCTTGTAGAAGTGCGCCGTTATACCAATAGTTAATGGAGAAACATTTATCTCAAAATGATCCTGAATAAATAAGAAAAATTTTAGTAATATTAGTAACCAGCTAGGGAACCCAGCTTTGCCTAGAAATCGACACAATTTTTAAACCAAGCAGAGATTAACCCCCCTGGATCAGTGAAATCTATGGTGTTTAGAGGGTTTTTAAATTTGGGGCTGAGCCCCCCCCCCTCCCCCCCTTGACCTTGGTGTGCAGTGTTCAGTTAGACCCATAAAACTGTGAAATAAAATTACTATTATTGCTTACAACATTTACATTTGTTGAAATCTGAGCGGGGAAAATGTAATAAACACAAAATATACTAAATTGACGGAAATTTAGACACATTCCCCTCTCTACTTTCTTGTTGAAGGTTTGTTGTTGTGTGAACTTAAAACTTGCAAAGGACTGAGACCCTTGTCGGTCTGGGGATCCCACATTGGGGGTCTTTCATGATCTTTTTCTAATACTAATATGAGAATTATACAGAATAGCTTGCGAACCCAGCGTTGCCCAGGGTACTTATAGTTACTCCAACCGTTTACCCGCGCTTGGTCGTAAATTACGAGTTTACCTATTTTTCACTTAAACAGTGGACTCACTCAACTTAGAATCTTAAAACCAAGCTAAGAACATTCCCGTGGTCATCCCGAGTTGCCCAATCAAAATTTGAGGCAAATCGGTAAAGCTGTTCATGAGTTATGATCGGACATACAAACTAACAAACATAGATTACTACTTATTATATATATAGATATAGATTATAAGAGAGGATGGATATACAGATATTACCTTAACTGATATACCCCCAACCCTGGCCCTCTCCCTGCTGTAAACTCGGACAGTTCTCTGTCTATCCACAGGTATATCCCGCTTCAACTCCGTCGGGGTCAACACGTTCTCATACAGCTGGTTCGGGAGCAGGTTCCTCACGTTCACCCAACCCATCTCAAGCAGGTTTTCAACACTTAAATAAAGGGATTTTTATTCTAAGATATAGTTCAAATGAGGGAAGGAGGAACACATCTGTCTTAAAGTCATAAGGATAGATTTATTCGGCAAAATAAGATTTCCATGTACAAGCGTGAAGATAAAATATGTTTGGATCGCTACTGATTATTTAATACTTTAAGCAAAGTACATCATTTTTAAGCCGTCAAAATCTAGCTTTCCTAGGCTTAGAAACTTCTTATACTTAAAGCTGTAGTCCTTTTTTTATTTTGTGAATTTAAAAAAATCCACCTACAGAGAATCTTACCAGTCAATTGATTTTTGAAAAATAAGAGTCATAAAAAAGATCAAATAAAGAAGAGGTTGAGCTAGCTAGCTCAATCAATTTCTTAATCCTTAATTTCCGTTTCTGTTTTACTACGTTGTTTTTGAACACTGTGTTTAAAATTAACATAAAAAGAAAATGAAAACAAAATGGAGTCATAAATATTAAAGTTAATAAAACGCCACCTGTCATCACTCATAGAGCTTCTAGTGAAGAGAAAGTTAGATATATTAATATCAGCTATACCAAGCTGACCGTCAACCTCTGTCAGTCGCCAGGCTGCTTTACTGAAGCATATCTCACCTCGTCTTCTTAGTTTAGCTCCTTCATTCTGTCCTCTAAATACCAGTGCTTTTATTAGATCAGTGTCCGAATTAAATGAATTTAAGCCACGTCTTAAATCCCCCAAAAACCGGTATTAATTGAGCGCCGGCTTAAATCTTGAAAAAATCTAATACAAATTTAAGTGGAACCAACCATATTTTGAGACGCGGCTTAAATTTAAACCGCGGCTCAAATTCTTTAAATTCTTCCTCAGAACTGGGTACTTAATCTGATAGAGTGTACACTTCGTAGGTTCATTTAATCAAGCTTCTAGTAAAACTTTTTTTTTTTAACAAAACCAAATACACATAATATTGCTTAAATGTCGTCTTTCTATTTAACATTAAAAATTTATCTATTAAGTGTCATGTCCGATTCACAATGGTAACCTTCGTCTGATAAATGATGAATGAGATATCTTTTTATTTCTCTCAGAAAATTAATTATTTTCAGTTAAATTAATTATTTTCAATTGTGGTTTTTCTGTGTATGTGGCTAGAAGATAAAAAGCGACGATTTTCTTCCGCATTGTTAACGACATAGATAGTAATTAGGGGGTGTATTAAGATATATAGACTAGAGGGCCATTTGAAATTTGAAGTTGACTGCTCATATGAAAGATATCTTTGTAGTATATAACCTTAGAGCAGATTGTCTCTGTGAGCTGGACATCTGGGTTTCTTTATAGCATCTTATCATCATATCAAGATCTTCACTGATAGCTAACAAACGGTCCTAAAGTATTAAATATTTCTATAGCATCTAATCATCATATCAAGATCCTCACTGATAGCTAAGAAACGGTTCTGAAGAGTTAAATATTTCTATAGCATCATATCATCATATGGTCTTCACTGATAGCTAAGAAACGGTCCTAAAGAGTAAAATATTTCTATAGCATCTAATCATCATATCAAGATCCTCAATAATAGCTAACAAACAGTCTCTACCTTCCTGCATATCTATACGTTTATAATCTATGGAAACCAACCTTGATTTCTGCCCCCTCAGCTTCCATTCTTAATCTCTTCCCAGCAACCATTGTATTGGAGAGAAGATAGATTTCTTTCTCTTTTTCTCTCTGGGTACATGCTGAATAGGGATACCAATAAAGAATTGGTGTCGTGCATATTTTTTCAACTAAATGAAGAAACATTCTGTTGTTTAAGAAAGTCTTCCTAATCGGCCAAAATAATTAGTACATTACTTATGAAAAGTATAGTACACTACCATATTAAATTGATAGATCGACCTTAGAAGTATTCTTCATCATTGGTCCGTAGACGGGTTTTTATTTATAACAACTAAAGCATACATTTAGCTATCTGGGACATCAATAATTTAAAAATATTTGTTTGGAATTTATTGTAAATATTTTATGTAAAGAAGACTAACTGTCATGCTTTACTTATATAAGAACGATTAAAAATCGTCTTAAATGTTTGTTTGTATAAAATGGTTTGGGAAAACTAAAAAAAATATTTAAAATTAATTTTTTTTTAAATATTAAATAATGCATAATGATCAGACGCAAAGATTTACCGAGCTGTCTCAGCTGGTTCTGAAGTTGAATAATCTTCTTCCTGTGTTTCTCAATGGTATCAATCTCAAGCATGAACTGATATCTCATCCGGAGATATTTATCCGTCCTTGCCTAGATTATTTTGTTCATGATTTGTTCCGGGATCTGGATAGAATTCATATTTTTATTCTTTACTAGCTTGGGAACCCAAAACTTAAAGTTACTCCCGCCGTTTACCCGCACTCGGTCGACTTTACCGGGAAACTTTAAAAGTCGATCCACTAAACTTAGAATCTCAAAACCAATCTAATAACATTCCCGTGGTTCTCCCGAGTTCCCCATTCAAAATTTGAGGCAAATCGGTCAATGGGTTCCAGAGTTATGAATGGACAAAAAACTTTGTATATATAGATTACAAGGATGAATTCTGCTTTCTGTTTATTTTTATTTATAAAAAAATGTCGAATATTAGCAGGTAAGCTCAAGTTAATTGTACCCGTAATTTTGCTGAAAACAATATTTTGTTATGCTTTTGGACATTTCATAGATTCACTAATACCTAATATCTGAATAATTTCCTATCTCTGAAATGTCCTTGGGAATTAAAAAAAACTATCAATGTATCAACTTTCAACCAGTTTTAAAAAATAATTGTTGTCTATGAACAGATAACCTCAAGTTATTTATTATTTGTTGTGCTTTAGGACATTTCAAATCGAACAAATAAATTAAATGTTCTTAAAATTAAATGTCCTCTGTATAAAATGTCTCGTCCAAAAAAATGCCCAACACCCTATTTCGTACCTTGAGAGTAGGTTCTGAATATAGAAGAAGATTGTTGATAATATCCAGAAGCATAACGTACTGCAGACTGTTTGTACACACGTTGAGATCATGATGTACAAGAGTAAATGCATTAACAGCAGTTTCAGCAGCATTCCATTCATCCTCAGTTATAGGACTTCCTAAAGAGAAAGAAACTGTAAACGTAATTTCAAGTGACCCTCCATTTATGGAAAGGTAAGTCCAATTCACAATGGTACCCTTAAGATACAAACTTTGGCTGATATTTGGAATTTAATTATTGTCAAGTGTGGTTTCTCTACAAAAATGACTCGTGCATTTCTTCTAATCTGGACGTGGATAGATTTTTACTGATATGCAAACAATAGCATAACGTTTCAGTTTAGTTGCATTGAACTTGACTGTCAAATTAATTTACAGTGACCTTCCGTTAAAGAATTACAAGCCATAAACTTTGAATGCTTGTTGGGGCGTTAGTTATCAACAGTTTTTAGGTTTGGTCTAACATAAAGATCTCTTACCTGACATTTTACAAGCTCCAGCTACACTCGCCTCAACATCATCTAGAGCTGTATCACCGTAGGATACATAGAAGAACTCTGCTTTACACCGGGATACAACCCTCTGCAGCTGGATACCAAGGTTACCAGGACTATCAGTTACTCCGACTACCTGGATACAAGTTAGGATAAATAATACAATACAACCCTCTGGAGCTGGATTCCAGGATTATCTCCAACTACCTGGATACAATAACGAATAATGAATTCAATACAACTCTTTACAGGTGGATACCAAGGTTACCATGACTATCTGTTACTTCTACTAAGAAGATACAATACAGAATGATAAATACAATACAACCCTGGATACCAAGGTTACCAGGCCGGACTATCTGTTACTATAACTACTGGGATTCAATTAAGGATAAAAATTATGATATTACTTAGTAGAAAGATTGTTGCAAAATAAATTTTTTGAAGAAATTACTATTTAAACGCTTCTACATAAAAAAAAATTTAAAATTCTTTTTTCAAATTTTTCCCGTTCTTACCTTCGATACTACTCCTCCCACTGCCTTCCCACTACCCACCACCCCTGCAGGTCCAGGTACACGCCCCTCCTCCCCCTCCCCGATATTGTCCAGGGTTAACCACATGATATTGTCGAGGTCCGCCCCCTCCTCGCTGACCGTTGCGTAATACTGCATGCTCTCCAGTCCCCCGGACCAGGTCGTCTTCGAGAGGAGAGCTCGCTCTTTCCACACCGGTCTGTGCAGGTTCTGGGAGACAGATGCACGCGCGGCAGACATGATTACATATCCTTGGGTTTCTATACCTCGCATCAATAGCTTAACAAAGGTTATGTTGAAATCAGTTTTGTAGAGCTCAGGAGTGTATGTTTTTAAGAATTATAATTTTTGATGCTTTAAAAATCATGAAAATCATTAATTTTCCCAATTCAGCGAATACAACCGTATAAAAAAGTTTGAGCTCCGCTCTGGTGAAAAAAAATAAAATGAGTTTCAAAAGGTAGGGTGAAATGGTTTTTCCAGGAAATGGCAGAGGTTCTATTCAGTTTTTTCTTCATATTATTGCTTGCTTTTTTAATTCTTTGCCACGTAATTAATTTGTATTTAAAAATTTAATTAAATGCAAATCACCGAATTTAACCTTTTTTATGTTTAAAGATTAAAACTTATAAAAGTATCATCCTTTGATAGCAAAAATGTAGATTATTTCATATAATGGTCAATATACCAGTTTTAATATTTGCTACTTGTGAGTTGACCAGCTCGATACAATTCCAATATTTTCTACCTATCAGATGACTACCTCTATACAGTTCCCATATTTGCTACCTTTGAGTTGACCAGCTCAATACAATTCCGATATTTGCTAGTTGTGAGTTGACCAGCTCAATACAGTTCCAATATTTACTACCTGTGAGTTGACCAGCTCAATACAGTTCCAATATTTTCTACCTGTGAGTTAACCAGCCTAATATAGTTCCAATATTTTCTACCTGTGAGTTGACCAGCTCAATTGACCAGTTCCAATGAACAATATCATCTTTGGTACAAGCAGCCATTGCCTCAAGGCTATGCTTAACTTCCTCCTCGCCACTCATATCCTCACTGTACGCAGTTGGAGTAGCTCCACCCTCGGTCTCCTGTACAACAGGTTCTTACTAAGTGTGTACTATGTACGTTGTTAAAGGGAGTATTTGCGAAAAATTAAAGGGTGTAATAGTAATGGGCCTGGTAATGATATGACAAAGAAAAAAATTTACAGTTGCAGAGAATCTTGAATATAAGGAAACAGACCGCAATACATTTTGTAAGTCGTCTCTGAAGTCTCAGTTTTGGCGGGTAACCCTGTACAATATATTTAATTATTAAACTGGGAAGCTGACCTGAAGAAGTCTATCTAGCATGCTCCCCGCCACCTTGGATGCCCCGGCCCCCCAGGAAAAGGGGGAGTTGACTGTGCTGGCCGGGGTAGGAGAGGTAAACGGAGTTTTCTCTTGAGGCTGAGTCTGAACAAGAAATAAGGATAAAATACATTTAAGAATTAGAGAATATCCTTCAACAAACGGAGATTTTTATTAATTTTAGTTAAATGATTTTTTTTTAAAGTTGGAAATTGGAGTCATGGGAATCCAACTTTGCTTAAATAATTAATTCTGCGATAGAAATCCGTAAATGAAATCTTCGTTACATTTTTTTTTCAGGTACAAACGTGATTTTTCGTTAAATTATTTAGTTTCAATCTAACAAACTTAAAAAGTTTGCAATACAAAACTAGTCAAGCTAACCCGATTACTTGTTTCGAACTCTTAATTTTTCTATTATAACAATTTTACAAACTAGTGGTGTCCACTAGAAAATTCAAAATATTGATCATTTGATCTCGCAGAATTCTTTGTTTAAACTATAAATATAAGGTCTACGACATCAGTTTGCATGTAAGGTTAAATAAAGATTAGAAAATAAAAGTTTGAGACGAATAATTAATAAAGATAAAGATTGAACCTGGATTGGTTTCTCTGAGTAGAATAGTTTCAATGCATCGGAGGAAACATTCTTCCGGAGAATCTGAGCACGGCGCCAGGAATCATACAAGGCAAAGAACATATCCCTGGTAAAAAAACCTGTCTCATATTCCTTTCGAATTTTATCTTTTACTCTGTATTCTATTATCTAATGTTACTTAATAATATCTCATCGTATTTCATGGAAACTCAGAATAGCTCTCTCACATAAGAGACCATATGGGACCATATTCAGATTCGGATTTTTATTTTTATGGTTTAAAGTAAAGAATCATCTGCAAAAAATGGAGAAGACACTTTGAAAATTTCTCAGTCGTTCTTTTAGAATTTAGGCAGCTTAAGACTTAAGGATAACGTTTTTTTATTAAGTCTAAAATTTCTACCGGTTTGATTGTGTCCAGGCTCCTCGAGCTCCGTGAATAACTAAACGATGTGTTGGTTTTCCTGAATAAAAGAATAAATAAAAAATCAATCAATCAATCAATCTATCTATCAACCAATCAATCCATCAATGATTTAATAAATGTAGTAACAAGCGAATATTCTCCCACCTAACTCTTCACAACTGTTTCTGGTGTAAAGAACCTTCTCTACACAGAAGAAGAAACTCCGTTCCATGTTCCTGGAACTCTCCATCCTAGATATTCTACTGTTTATCGTCTCACGTCCTGAGGTCGGGGTGGGAGGAACAGATTTAGCCTCCTTAAAAAATATCAATTAAAGTAACAATAATGCTAGGAGTGAAGGACTTTTATAGTAGATTTTTGACAACATTTAAGGAATTAAACTTACAGTGACATTCAGAAAACTAAGGAGTAAGAATACGACATTATTGCAATACTAAAGATCATTTGATGCCTAGTACAAAATAAATAATTTTACTGGTAACTTATTAATACACTCTTTAAGTTATATGGATCGGTTTATTTACACTTTTTAAGTTGCTGTGTCTCATCTTCATTGGAATATTATGTCATATATTGAATCTAAAAAAACATCTTCCTATTCCAAAGTTGTATGGGTGTCACTGTACAACATTGCTTTCGGTTTTCTAAATAGTACTTACTTCGTTCGAAGGAGATGGAGGATTTGAGTTGGATTCATTCTCCGGGATTATAGCAGTCTGGATCCAAATATCAGAGGTGGTAAGATCACAGCTTATGTAGGATACAGTCCAATCCGCCTTAGCTCTTCTCCGCAAACCGTCTAACAACAGAAGAGAAGAAATGAAAAAAAAACTAAAATGTACTACCTAGATACCACTAGACGATTTTTAAGTAGTAAGCTGATAAAATGTTTTAAGGACTTTACCTGTGTAAGGAACAATGTTCAGTTGATGGTGCGCGGCAAGATGGATGCCACGCGCAACATTAAGAAGAATGCCTCGCTGTTGAGAAAAGCTCGTCCAGTAGTTAACTTGGAACTGATGAAGGGAAACACTTATGTCCACTTTCTTAAAATGGCGGGAAAAATGTGGTTTCTTAGGCCTGTCGTTGTTAAACACTGCTCCCCGCCGGATAGGGCGAGTAGCCCCACTAAAGATAAACTTCAAGTTTTCAAACCAACGCAGAGTTGAACTAAACATGTCTAGCTTTGGTCTTTCTCCTCGTGTTCCCCGTCCTGATCTAGTTTCGAACTGGACGGAAAGGTCTAGGTTCGAGGATCTAAATGCTCTGTATGAATCATGTTCCTGGTTGGACGAATATTCTGGTAGTTTATTCGGTGCACATGGTATGACGGAGTGGTGATCCTTAGGGTTAGCAAGACAGATCCAATCCATCTTAATCTGAAGGTTTAAATTCGGCAAGTGGAGCAGATGACCGTCATCGTATTTGCTGGCGGTTCTCACGTAAATATCCAGGGTTCCGTTGACACTCATCTCCGCCTCCCCCCAGTTGAGAACCATGTCCGTCCAGCTCACGTCCATCTCCTCTGTGGTATTGTACGGATCAAGGCTAGCATGAAGTAGCAGCTTCTTGGTTCGGGCCGCCAGCAGGAATCTACCATGGAGCAGAAGTCTTACTTTGTCCCACCAAGGGAGCGGGGGGCTTGGATCCTTGCTCCCTCCCGTCAGATAGTTTAGAGCTAAGGAGCATTGGGTTAGAGTAGGCTCCCAACATAATCCATACGCCATTGATAATGTCTCAACATCACAAGCTAAAAAGATAATTTGTATAATAGCATCAAAATCTTATTTTCAATCTTAATCCTACCTAAATCATAATAGAACTTCAATGGAACCATATTTCTTTCAACAAACTGATCCTGGAAGGGATGTCCGATCTTCACCCTGAGATAAAAAACAAATGACGCTTTGATGTTATGTTAGAATGCCATGAATGTTATCATAAAATTATCCATTAAAGATACATCAGAAACCCCCAATTAAATTGCGGTTTCCGGGAGGAATTTAAACGAACTGGATGCTCCTAAAGCATATCCTTCCTTGAAATTCATGCACAAGTTTATTGATGAAAGAAATAATCATGGTTTGGTTGGTTATAAGTGATTGTTAAGACATGAATCGTAATTTACCTATCATCTCTAATTGCTCGTTTGGTGGGACTTGCCTCTGCTCCTGCCAGTTTACCCCAGAGCGCTAGGGTTTGAATATCTAAAAGTTTCTGAGGAAAATCTCTGAGTGAGACTGTAAAACTGTCGGACTGAACCCTGATCCATCTGCACCACAGGGTAGTGAAGCTCAGCTGGGACTCCGGGGGCCAGGGAGAGAAATAATCAAAGTCCTGGAGATGCCGAACCACTTCAGTTTTACCATGCATACTGGGATCCGCTAGAATCATCATTTCCAACCCGCTGAGCTCCCATTCCAGCAATCTTGTCCGGGTCTTACATCCCTGATATACCTTCTTCACACGCTGTATATAAATCTCAGCATTTTTCTTCTTCAAGTTCTGAAGAAGCTCTTCAACCTTCTCAGAGGGGAACATCAAGTTCTTCCTCCTGAACTCCGCAATTCTCTCCTCCAGCACCTTCAACCTTGTCTGACTCTCCGTGTACTCGTCCTTCTGAAGCTCATAGTTATCCCGGAGTCTTACCTCGAACGGATCATCGCTTAGTTCAAATTTACAATTTTTTATATTAATAAGAATATCCCGGGGAAGGGTTGAGTTGGGAGAGGAAAGTTTCCCATGTTTAACCTTCAACCATTTCACAACGCCGAGAAATTCTTCAAAGAAAACTTTATGGAAATTGAACTGATAAGGTTCGGTGAACGTAAACAAATTTGCTGCAATCACAAAGCACTTGTTCTGATGAATAGTTCCTCCTTGCATTCGTTTCCGCTCAGTGCTGATTTTATCACTATTCTCAACTGCAGAGAGAAGGATATTCTCCACCTGGAGGATCTGCTTGTTGTCCATCTTCACTGTGAGAACCGGGGTCTGGATCCAGGAGATGCCAGGGTTCGCAACCTTGGCTGTAATATTTGGAACTCGAACCTTAATTGAATGTTCTCCAGTATGAACTTGAACAGATAACTTGTCGGTCAACTGAATGTGATAAACAGAGGGTTTCTTAGTTTCCTCCTGTACTAATGGTTTAGCTGGGAGAAAAGATTTAAACTTGTTTATCTCATCGACAAGTTGAAGGAGGGATACTTGCAGGTTGGGTTTCCAGATCATCTTTACTCTTTGTTCGATCACAATCTTAGGCTCGGAGACCTTGTGATTGAGAACCAATTTCTGGAGCTGTAGCCAAGTCAGCTGCTCCTCTGAGGTCTCCATAGAAAAGTTAACCCCGGAGAGAGTAAACTCTCCAGTCGTCTTGTCCCCTGCTGCTTCAAGCTCTCGGAGAGAAAATTGTAAGGTTATCTCGTTCTTGCTCCAGACAAACTTGGTCTGTGTGGCGAGAAGAGCGAAACTGGGAGGAGGTTTTGGAGAGGGGGTGGATGGAGGGAGCTGGAGTAATATTGGACGAAATACTTCATGAACCCTACTAGCTAAATCATGCAGAGCAGGGTTGTAACAGAAAATGGTCTCGTTTATCATCAAATCCACCTAAAATAATTTTAAATTACTGTCATGGATTCAAAATTTTTTGGATTGAATAACGATTTTCACTTAAAATAATTAGTTTCGTATTACCTCTGTTCTATCTTGAGGTTTGCAGAGCCGAACATCCATCTGTCCCACCTGGAGAACAGTATTGGAATCGGAGTTACAGAGAACCCGTCGTACAGAGAGCTGGTTGGTTCCTCCATCTAATCCTCCCTGCAGATGGTGCAGACTTATCTCCCACTCACAGGAGTCAACAATTACCTAGATACCGGATAAGTTTTAAGTTAAAATTGATTATTCTAGGTCTAGGGGAGGGGGTTCAACAATTACCTAGATACAGGACAAGTTTTAAGTTAGAAATTGATTATTCTAGGTAGGGGGAGGGGGGGGGAGGCATTGGTTACGTTTGCCCAAAACCATATACAGAAAAATATTTTTTTTCATTGAGTAAAATGTCAAAACCAGAGAGAAACAAACAGATAAGCTGCTCAAATGAAAATAGCTTCATTTCAGATTAACAAGGTGTGAAACTAAAAATATTATATCGGATAGCAAGATATGATGTATTTTATTTCATAAACTTATTTTTCTCAAAAATATACTAAAATTTACCAAATCTGAATTCCAAGCATCCAGCTGGTGTTTGTGGAGTAGATCCCGGAGTAAGGACGAGGATTGAGGAGAAGCTGAAGTTGAACCTGAACCTAAACCTACACTACTTCGATCACGGTCTCCCTGAACCAAAGAGTAAAATAAATCAACGGTAAATATAGAAATAACTATATAGTTTTGTGTTTTAAAAAAAGTGTTAATTTGCGACATGGATTTTAAAAATACTGAAAATTGGTATGAGAGTGAAGTTGGCTATTTTTTCCTTGATTTTGAATATTTCTTTACACAATTTAGCAGTCTTCGTTGCAGTTTGCAATAATCACTTAGCAAGGACTAAATGTTCACAAAGAGTAAATTCTTTTAAATCTAAAAATACTATTTAATTAAAAATTATGATTTGGAACTTTTATTATGCAATTTGTCTGACCTTATCTAAGTTTTTGACGAGCCATGATATTGGCGAGATCCAAGGACTGAGAAGAGCTGAATATCTGCCCCGGCATTCATGGATCTGAGTATCCGAGTTGAGAAGGTTTCCTTCCTTCTGAACCAGGACCTGGAACTTGGAGACCTCAAACACTCTCTCATCCTCCCTCACGTTGTTCACCCTGTACAGTGGAACCCATATAAACCAAGGACAAATTGTAGTCGTTTTTATATAATCATTATTTCCCTCAAATGTATGGTCTATTTCTATTAGAAATTTCCAAGCCGAAGCACTTGACCTTGGAGCCAAAATAAAAGCAGTATACAGCATTACACATCCATACGACCCATGCCTTTACCCCCCCCTCCCTTNCCCCCCCCCCCAGTTGTATAGAAGTTAAGGATAAAGGAAAAGCTCACTGGAAAAATGGAGACTGGGGAAATGAGAATATGGAAATTCTTTGACTAAACTTAAAGGAATGAATTTGAGAAATTAATTATCTAAAATATTGTTTAATGTTTATGTCCTTTTCAAAACCCCACCTAAAACCCCGGCCATCCCAATTGCGTTAAAAGTGGGTAATTTAGACGTAGGTAGGAGAGACACGCACCGCAACATAATACTCTAGTGGCTTGAGTAATTTTTTTACATATTATGATTTTAGTTTTTCTCCTTTTCACTTTCAACAGTATATTAAGTTTTTGTCTATTTTTCTTTGTGATTTTAGCACTTAAAGAATAAAATGAATTTTTTATCGTTAGATCTTAAAAAACGTGAAATCATCCATTTTAAACTCAATTTTAATATGGCTTATTAAAAAATTTAAACCTTAAAGCAGAAACTTGGAGAGACAGATGGCTATCAGGAAGAGAATCTGCTCTGGGTGGTTCTGTACACTTGACACTGATATACAGGAGCTGTAGCTCAGCTTCAAGGGAGGAGATCTTGTCTGTGTGCTCCAGGCTTACACTAAACTCTTCAGCTTTTATCTGATAATAATATTAATAATAACACCAAGATCTTATCAATCTGAAAATCAGTAAAATATTATGATTGATGATTTTTGATTTGAACAAATAAAGATAAAAAATTTACTATCAATCAAAGATTCCACTATCCCCCCTCCCCCCTCATCAAAAATCTTTATTTTTGAGCTAAGATTTAACAAAGGAATAAAGTCTTTTCATAAATTCAAATTTTCGAATCCTTAATCTTTGCAACCTGAATGTGTAAACCTTTGATATTTCAAATTTAGATTATTTGATTTCAGATTTCATAGTTTGAAATATCTAACAGTAACGTCTCCTATATTGGGTTGCAAAGATACAGGGTTTATAAAATCCAAATTTAACAAAGACTCAATTAATAATAATAAAATAATTAGATATGATAAGATTAGATAAATTACTTTGCATTATTTCGCAATTATACAAACTGTCCAAGAAAAAATTTAGAATATTGTAGGTTGTCACCACAAAATCTTCGAAAATAAATAACCCTTAAAAACTACCTCAGCCTGTCTAGGTATATAAGCAGTGAAGGCACTGAGTTTTGTCGCTTCACTGGGTCTACTTTTAACCTAAATAGTTCTAATTCTAATTTCATCATATTAAACATAATCTAACAAACTGTTCAGCAATTATTAAAATTTTTTCGTAAAATGTCATCACTGTGAGATCCTTTTTTTAAAAAGATAAAAAATACATACATGAAGGCGTCAATTTTGTGCTTAAATAGGAACTCAATCAACTTTTGTGCAATTATGTAACAATTAATCAAACTATGACAAAATCTATTTTTTAAAGAAAATTTAAAAAAACTTGAACCATCTTTTAAAGAGCTGATGAAAGTTGTATTGAAAGTATATAAACCTGAACTATCTGTTGAAGTAGGGCGGATGAAAGTTGTATTGAAAGTATATAAACCTGAACTATCTGTTGAAGTAGGGCGGATGAAAGTTGTATTGAAAGTCGATCTAAATCCAATTTTGCCTCTTCGACACTTGATATACTCCCGTTGTAAACGAGAGCCTGAAAAAATATCATTATTGGGGGAGCTTCGTGGCTTAATGAGTCACATCACTATTAAGGGAATCGAAGCCAGGGGTTCTAACCCTCGTCCCATGGACATAGCTGGCTTCCTTCCAGCATTAAAACCATCGGTATTCAGTTACAGTCGTTGTTGGAGGTCATTACGTTGATTTACATAACATGCAAACCTGCCAACACTCAAGAGGTAGCGCAACAAACTTCTTTGGTGCGTAAACCTTATACCCCATTCAGTTGGTGGACAAAAGAACTTTGCTAATTTCCATGTCCATCTACGCACCATGGACAAACGGTTACAACGACAACAAAAAATATAATTTATTCATTTTGATCGATCGAGATCGAGTAGAATGACTTAGATTTTTGCATTCAACTAATTCTTTTTATCTAAAGATAAAGTTCTAAATCGTACATCAACCATTGAAGACTTGATTTTGATACTAAGGATGAACCAATCTTAATACTTAAAATATGAATTATTATTATTATTTGACCTGAAAGCTAGACTGGAATGCAAAGTTAGTGTCCAGTAGTATGGAGTTAAAGAGAGAATGCTCAATACACATCCGACCTAAAATAGTTATTAATTAATAAGGATATCATACAGAACGGTTGTAAGAGGCAGTTCTGCGCTTCAACTATTTTGCTAGTGTCATTTTTACTAGCTTTATAATTTTCTTGCGTCATTTAGGCTTTCGTCATTTTTCTATATGTCATTTTTTTATGCATATTATTTTTGCTCTGTCCTTATTGTAATAGTTATACTTTTCCTTAAGTAATTTTTGCTGTCATTTTTCTAATGCACATAATATTACTAAATATTTGTCACTTTTGCTTTGTATATAAATTGCTGTGGCGTCGTTCACTTCTAAAAACAACCTTGATCAAGGATGGTGGTTGGAGATAGTTTAGGTCTATGGATAACCTTGACAAGAGTTAGTTTAGTTCTAAAGATAACCTTGATAAAGGATAGTTTAGTTCTATAGATAACCTTGATAAGGGTTAGTTTAGTTCTAAAGATAACCTTGATAATGGTTAGTTTAGTTCTATAGATAACCTTGACAAGAGTTAGTTTAGTTCTATAGATAACCTTGAAAAGGGTTAGTTTAGTTCTAAAGATAACCTTGATAAGGGTTAGTTTAGTTCTATAGATAACCTTGACAAGAGTTAGCTTAGTTCTATAGATAACCTTGATAAGGGTTAGTTTAGTTCTATAGATAACCTTGATAAGGGTTAGTTTAGTTCTAAAGATAACCTTAACAAAGGATGGTTTAGTTCTATAGATGACCTTGATAAGGGATGGTTCAGTTTTAATTATAAGTTAACCTTGATAAAGGATGGTTCAGTTCTTATTATAACCTTGATTAAGGGTGGTTAAGTTCTATAGATAACCTTAATAAAGGATAGTTTAGTTTTAATTATAACTTTCATGAAGGATGGTTTAGTTCTATAGACAACCTTGATAAAGGATGGTTTAGTTCTTATTACAACCTTGATAAAGGATGGTTTAGTTCTTATTACAACCTTGATAAAGGATGGTTTAGTTCTAATTACAACCTTGATAAAGGATGGTTTAGTTCTAATTACAACCTTGATAAGGGATGGTTCAGTTTTAATTATAACCTTGATAAAGGATGGTTCAGTTCTTATTATAACCTTGATTAAGGATGGTTAAGTTCCATAGATAACCTCAATAAAGGATGGTTTAGTTTCAATTATAACTTTCATAAAGGATGGTTTAGTTCTAATTACAACCTTGATAAAGGATGGTTTAGTTCTTATTACAACCTTGATAAAGGATGGTTTAGTTATTATTACAACCTTGATAAAAGATGGTTTAGTTCTTATTACAACCTTGATAAAGGATATGGTTTAGTTCTAATTACAACCTTGATAAAAGATGGTTTAGTTATTATTACAACCTTGATAAAGGATGGTAGTAAGAGACAGTTTAGTTCTATAGATAACTGCAGAATCAAGTCTAAGTTCTCCTAGCTCTAGGACTAAGTGACAAGACGGGAGAATATTCAGTTTTGTCAAAACCAACTTGAACTCTCGAACCTAAAATTAATCAAAATATTATTAAATCTCTCTATTAAATAAAAATCTATCTAAATAAGCAGATTAAGAAATACTATTTTTACGTCTTTTTGACAAAGTAACTGAACATTGAACATTATAATTTTCTAGATTATATAACATTGCAACTTTATAAATAACAATAATAATAATAATATAACTTATGTTTACAAACATTTAGCCTACTGCTCTATATACAAACTAGCTTAAACCATTTAGTTTTGACTGAAATACTCGAGAGCGTCAACTTGGTACGTAATTTTATCTTTATTTTGTGTATTTTCATTTTATATTTATATGTATTTTTCTAACGTTTAAAAACATCAGAATTAAAGTACACATTTCTTTACCTATCAACCTGAAAGATAAAATTCCTGTCCTTAATATTGATTTAAAAGTTGCCGGATTGGCGCCAAACCAAATGTTTGTACCATCATGCAGGATGCAAAGATATAGGGATTAGAAAATTTTGATTATTTATACTTCCTTTTTGGAACCCGAAAACCATTGAAAGATATTTGGCAGGGTTTAAAGGTCCTTAACATCAACATGTTGTTAATATCTTCACTTATATACCTGTAGACCAAAGAATGGCGCTACTAGCATCAGTTTCTTTAGAATTTTATTCTCTTGAGCTCCGAGTACACAAGAGGACTGAGGGATTGGTTTAATACTTTCTCCATCTCCAGGGTTTAGTATTACACTTACACCTGGAGAAAACATTCTTTAGAATGATAGAGAGATGTTACAACATATCAGATTCTAGAGATCTAGTCCCTTATAAGTACGGTTGTCTTCCTTTTATCCTGTTTAAGCAACCAAGGAAATTTGACTTTCAGGAGACCCCCAAAAAGCTGAAATAGACGTCAAAATAATCCTTTGTTGTATAAGTCTAATTTGAGAAAACAGCTTAAAATTGTCAAATAAAGAAATTTTGGAAACTTTTTCAATAGATTTTTCTTTTGCAATTTGGAAGCCAAAACACTTAAAATAAAATGTTTTAAAACATTATGATTAAACCTTAAACTTTGACCTGTTGCTATGAAGGTAAGAAGGTTGTTTGCTTCACTGCTAAATACACTGGACGTTAACCGCAGATTATCTATTTTTATCTCGAAAACCTGAAAAAAAGTCGTCTTAGATAATATATTGTAAAATATTGCGTAGATTTCAATGGCAGCCATGAAAAAATATGAACTTAACGTTACCAGGACAATTGACGAAATTTAGAGTGAACCTCCATGTCCGATTCACTACGGTACCCTTTATCTGATCAATAATGAGGAAGATATCGTAATTTTTCTAACTTGAAAATATCAGTTTTAATTAAAAAACATGGATTTCGTATTCATTCTTGATCCTACAACGCTTCTAACGGTACTGTTGTGAATCGACATGTCACTCTATAAAAAGAAGGCCACCTGAAATTACGTCCTTAGCCCTTTAAATACAACATTCACCTTTACTTTTTAAAAATATGTTTTTAGCGTAATTTAAAAAACTTGTAAAATCTTCCAAATTTATAATATGTTGACGAAATTTAACAGTACCTTCGTGGATAAAGCGAACTGTGAGATAACCCTGCCCCCGCCCTGGATAGCTCCGATCCTAACCGTAGCCCGCAGGTAGAGGGAGAGTAGGCGGGCCAGCAACCAGGGGAACAGGATCACCCACACAACCACAATACACACAACCACACACACCAACCACAACAACCACATTCTCAACAACAAGACATCTTTCTGAAACAAAACAAATATAACAAACTAATAGATTTTTATTATCACATTTAGTTGCATATAATGCCAACAATTGAAAGAGCTCGGTAAACAATACATATATAAATAAATTAAGGTTCAAAAAGCATTTCTTGATAAAATTGTGAAATTTCTCCGGATGGTTCCTGGATTTCAACTCCGATACTTTTCTGTATATATCAAATCAAAATAACTAAAAACCTTATATACATTTGACTTGTCTGTTTGGTTTGATTCTTTGTATTCAATAAACGTCAAAACGGCTTGAACAATCGGGCCAAAGGAAGAATTATGGCCCAAGGAAGTTTTAAGGCCAGTCAGGATTATTTTTTTTAATAGAAGTAATGTCGATTTTTAGATTTCTTGAAAATTCATGAAAACAGAAAATCCACGAAATTTTAATTTTAAAATATGCTAAGAAAAATGGGAACTTAAGGATTAATTTTTAAGAGCTTGTTCTGTTAACTATGATATCTATCTGTTTTATTTATAGTCTTGCATTAGTTGATAGTTTTATGATATTATTGTTAGAAAGAAGAACTATTCAAGAACGATTGATATTTGTTTCATGATATTATTATTAGAAAGAACAACTTTTTAAAGAAAGATTGATTGATTTCCTGAAGATATCCTTGATCCATGAATCCTCTGGCAGAGTCTTGGATTCCAGATGGATCTAAAAAATGATTAATTTCTCTAAAAGAAGTATATTTTTATTCTCTTACACATAGCTGTATACACTTAATTGAGTCCTAGGACCATAATAAATTAACTCTTGATTAGTAGTTAAACCATGCGACGGTCTAAGTTGAAGACGAAGTGGTTCAACTACGCGGTTCAACTACTTCCTTTCAGTCCAAACCTGTTTTTACTATCCTTTTATTACATTCTATCTTACATTTAAGTTAAAAAGCCAAGAAGTCAAATTTAAATATTACTTTTATCAATAGAAAGGATACGATTTAAAACCTAAGGTAAATTAGAAATCAAATAAGAATATTGAATTTTCAATAAAAAAGTAGTAGTAGAACAAGACAAGAAAGTAGAAGTAAGAAAGAATATGATTAAAATTATAGGAAAATTAAGAAAGAAGGAAAAAGAAAATAAAAAGATCAAATTGACTTGGGGAGGAAAATCAAAATTATTTATTTATAATTTTTCCCCATCCCCATGATCCTTACCCTCTCCTTGCTGGTGTATATCCTGGACTATCTCCCTGCCCTCTCCGTCATCTTCCTGTATCTCCTCGACCACCTCCCCGACCTCCTCAGCGTTTAGGGAATCCATCTTCATCAAGTCTGGGTTGAGAGAGCACTTCTTCAGATGCTTCCAGAGACTGGGGTACCTACTGTACATGTTTCCACAGTGCATACATTTGTACTCTTTAACCCCTAAACAATAATGTATTTGCAATCTTGAACCTTTTAATGTAATACATTTGTACTTTAAACCTCTGAATATTATGGTTTTACTCTTTTAACCTCGAAATGTACTATATTTGTACTTTTTAATTTAAAAATGTGGTAGTTTTGTATTATTTAACCTTATTTTATTATTCATTTGTATTCCTTAACCTCTAAATACAATACTATTTAACCTTAATTATTATTTATTTGTACTCTTTAACCTCTTATTAATATGATCAATTTGTATTCTTAAACCTTTACACTAATACATTTGTACTCCTAACCCTCTGAACATATTTTATTACATGTACATCTATACAATAATTACAGTTTGTACCCTTCATATAAAAATGTTTTCATATTTTATTATGTCACAATACTAGTTTTTGGGTGTAACAATACATGTAGAGTAAGTATTAAAATGATAAAAACAAGTTTAAATAAAAAATAAATAAATAAATAAATAAATAAATAAATAAATAAATAAACAAAATATATAATAAATATTTCAATGATAATTTACTTGAATGAAATTAAGAATAAATATTTAAATGATAATAATAAGCTTACTAGAATGTGTGAACTTGTGCTGCTTGACTTCTGACTTGTGGGAAAATCTTTTTTCACATGTTGGTTCGTACGGACATCGAAACTTCTTATTATTTCCCTCGTGAATCTTCTTGTGTACTATCAAATTACTTCGACTTGCATACTTTTTCCCACACTCGTCACAAGGAAAGTGTTTAATGTTCGTATGGGAACTGATGTGGGAAAACAGATGATATTTAGAGATAAACACTTTTCCACATTTGTCACAAGAAAATAGTTTTAATGATTTGATGAGTTCCATCTCCAGAGGTTTATTGTGAACATTTCTCTCGTGGATTACAACATTTACTTTGGTCGCAAACCTATCCATTACAAAACATCATTGATTTCAAGGTCTAGTTGTTCAGGGGTTTATTTTTAATAAAATTACACAAATGATTTCTAAAAAATTAAAATGAGTCTTGAACTAGAAAATTTCCCCCCAACTTATCCAAAATTTATTCATGAAAGTCATAGATATTCCACAATTTAACCATAAAATTTAACCAAAGTCATAATTATTCCACAAAATCGTGAAATTTACCCTTCAAGTCATAAATATTCCACAATATAATTTACCAAAACTTTAAAGATAAACTTATTTTTGAAGAAAGGGGGATGACTTTAAACGGAAATATATACCCCCAGTGTTTATCCGTAATCCTTCAATTCTTTGGTTTGCTTGAGCCTTGATTACTTAATTACCCCTTTTTTTCATTTCAGATTTATTTTATGTTTGTTTGTTTATTTTTTGTTTTGTTTTTAATGAGTTTGTGTTCTGGATTCCTATTTGAGCAAATAGAGCAGAAGAACTCCTTGGAGTGTGTGGCGAGATGCTTCTCCAGGTTATACTTGGAAACCATACTAGAGCAAACCTCACAACTTAGAAATCTTTTCTCTCGAAGCTCAAACTAAACTCAAGAGTTAATTAGGTGCATACATTTTGTTGAAAAGTAATTCCCANAACTCCATCTAGAGACAAAATTTACCCCAGTATGTTGAGGTATGTAAAAATGGTTTTTAGGTAATACACATTAATTTTTGGGTACAAAGATTTTAATAAATGGTCGAGAAAACGCCAATTTTTCATTTCTTCCCCAGAATCTTCGCAGCTTTTTGTCGTTGACAAGGGGCGTTTTAAAAATAATTAAATCCTAAATTATGATAAAATATAACCTGAGGTTTATTTTTACTCCTGGTCTGAGATTGTTCTATAATCTTATATTCGTCTTCATTAATATCCTCCCAACATTTACCTAATATTTTCCAGAGGTGAACATGAGAATAAGATTAAACTACACAGTACTAACAATTACGCTTAAAAGGACTGACCGGATATGTATGGCAGTTGAACTGAGAATGTAGTATTGTATTTGTTTAGAAATCATTTGAGACCCTATTGGATAATTTTGAACGTCGAATCTGCGCTCACACTTGGTAATTTTATTTCATTAAAACGTTTCGTATGTCTCAAATAAATCCTAAAAAATGTCTCCACAACAGTACATTCTCCGTTCAACTACCATACATAGCCGGTCACTCCCTTTAAAGTCCTTTTAAGTGTAACAAACAAATTTTAAATAATAAGAATACCATCCGGAGATAAAGGAGACGAGGATTTATCATCAGGTTGCTCCTCTTCGAATAAAACTTCTTCATCCTCCTCCTCCTCCTGGCCCTCCTGGTTCTCTAAGTGGCCTAAAGGTTCGGAGTCTAAATCGTCTTCTAGGAATAGAATCTGGTTTTCATCTCCGGGTGTAACAATAATATAGGAAACTAGAGAGTTGGGGTTTATAGACCGAAGTTCTATCTCCGAACCAACCCTAGACCCAGAGTAAACAATTCGATGAAGATCAAGGTTCGGGAGATCTGGTTTCGAGATCTCCTCCTCAGTGTGCTCAGGTAGGGAGAGGAAACTGTTTATACAAGTGATAAAATCCTCCGTGCTCTCCTCCGGTAGAACAAGAACTGGATCAAAGTTTGGATTCCAAAACTCTTCTGAAAAAAATAGAAATATTTAAAAATTTGCCAATGATTACGGAAATAAAAATATTTTCTTACTTCAGAGTACAACATTTAAACAAATCTGTCCTGAAATTACTTCAAGAGTACTAAACTTGTGAAAATTTGTCCTATAATTTAAGCTAGGAATGTTTTATGAATTACGGAAATAAAAATATTATCCATAGTTCTGCGTTCAAAACTTATGCAATTATGTCCTAGGAATATTGTACAAACTAATACTAATCCGTCCTAAAAAGTTAGGAATATTTTACAAACTAATACTAATCCGTCCTAAAAAGTTAGGAATATTTTACAAACTAATACTAATCCGTCCTAAAAAGCTAGGAATATTTTACAAACTAATACTAATCCGTCCTATAAAGCTAGGAATATCTTATAAACTAATACTAATCCGTCCTATAAAGCTAGGCATATTTTATAAACTAATACTAATCCGTCCTATAAAGCTAGAAATATTTTACAAACTAATACTAATCCGTCCTGTACAGCTGTATAGGAGTCGATGATATTCTACACAGATACTAATTCGTCCTACCTAGACGTTCTAGGAATGGAATGTAAAGCGCCAGTAATATTTTACACACAGATATCAATCCGTCCCCGCAAACCACTCCGACAAGATCCTCGGAGTTTCTCGCCTCTCTTTATCAGGAAAATTTGCATGAGATAATAATGTTAAATCTGGAAGTTTTCTTTTTTTGATGAAATATTATTTCGGGCCAAATGTAATCTACTCGAATAATAAAAAACGCATTTGGCTTGACGGCCAATAAATACTGAACTTATTGGAAATCAATCAACAGCAAAAAAAAATTGAGAATTTTACGATAGTTCGCTTAACTGCGATTGCTTAATATCTTGGGATTCCAACCTAGAATTTTTTTTTTAGAAAATCCGGGAAAATTTTAAGTGTGTAATCGATGGTAACGCTTGCTGAAAAATGATTAATACTACTCACATACTGTAAATTCTACGAAAATAAATTGCATTATAAGAACAATATATAAATTGGCACATGATCACATGAAATGCTTTTCCTAAGACAGTTTCTAATATGCTCCAGATGTGATATATTTTCCATTTTGATCTGAAAAAAATAGAAAGAATTTGATACAAGAAATAACAATTTATTTACGAGAAAAAGTCCTTCGCCTTCATACGTTTCTTTCCGATGAGAGCTTTCTTGCCCATCGGGCTCAGGGAGTTGAGCTGAGTGTTCAAGGAGACAGGATGAAGAGTTGACACAGGTTTGCTCAAGGTCCTCTTTAGAAGGGACTTCTCTGGGTTCTTTTTAGGGTCATGGGGGGTCCCAGGACTACTTGCTATAGAGGTGTAAAGGTCTTCGATCTCCTGAAGCAAAAAAGGTTTAATTTCTGGTTATCGTTTAAAGTAAATACATTCATAATAATTTCATAAAAAATTATGATTTTGTTGTATTTCCTCGTCTTCCTTTCCAACCCAAGATTTTATTCTTGTGGCAAGAAATTTTTGTACGAGGTTCTTAATTGCTATAAAAGTTAGTTAAGTTGGATCACATCATTTTACACTACACAATGCACTTACAGGATCAGATTATGTTTAAGCTTTAACACCAAAAAATACAAAAAGTAATGCAAATCTTAACTTCTATTAAATTTAAAGGGGAGAAATGATTTCTGATGTTGGGAAATTAATTTTTAATAATTTTTTTTTACCAATTTAGCATATAAAACCAAATCTGAGGGTATTACAACTTTCCAATATAATAGATGTGGAACATCCATCATAATGTACAATGTACAATTTACGTACTGGTTTTGTACCTGTGACATATTCCTGGTGAGAGCAAAGTTGACCCTCTTGAGCCTTGGCTCCGATGACGCGCTCTTACTCTGCTCTTCTCCCAACCTCTTCAACTTCTTCTTAGGAGTAGCAGACTTAGACATAGCTTTCTTTAAGAACACAGCGGTGTGGGACTTGGCCAGGTTAGGGGTGGATACCGTTGGAGAATCAAATTCAGGGAAACCAGAGGAAACGGGAGATACAGGCGATAGCTTGGCTGTCCCTTTATACTTCTTGTTAGGCATAACGATCTCCTAAAATTATATTTAAAAAGAATAAAAAATCTGCCATTAACATGTTTTCTGTTTTCTCTACCTTAAACTTCCTATTCCCGACCCCTTCATTCCTCCATCCGAACCATGAAATATTTTTTATCCGAAATAAATCCTAAGTAGTTTAATACCTGTTCTTCGGGTTGTAGCGGAGTATCCCAGTCTGACGGAACCTCAAAAAGTTTTCCATTTGTTATACTATCATTTCCATCCTTCTTCTTTTTCTTTTTCTTAACAGAAGAAACGTCTTCGACCTTCTCCGGAGCAGGGTCAGAGGACTTGGCCGGAGAATCTACGTTCTTTAACTTCTTCTTTTTAGAGGATTGACTAAGTTCTGTGGTGTCATTTAGGGCAGGAGTTTCGGACTTATTTTTCTTCTTTTTCTGGGACTGAGACATATCCGAAAGATCTTTAGATTCTTTCAATATAGAACTATCTTCAATCATTGATGCATCTGTGCCTAGTACGGAGGTATCTTTGTTTTTGTTTTTCTTCTTTTTCTTCTTCTTTTTCTCAGGACTATGCGCTGTATCTCCGTTCGTCAGTGTAATTTGTTCTTCACTTTCTACAGGTGACTCTTTAACAAGTTCTTTTTTGGACTTCTTAGTGGTCGGTGAATTTCCATTTGCCATCACTTCACTTTTTTCTTTTAAACTTTCTTGTTTCTTTTTTAGCTTTTTTTGTTCCTTTTCTGAAACAGAAACAAGGTTTTCCGGTTCCATTGCCTTGATAAGACCGATATCCTGTTCTATCATGATATCCGCCTTTCTTCTCTCCTCTCCCTCCTTGATCTTCTCTGCTAACAATCTCTCCCTCTTCTGTCTCTTCAACTCCGCCTTTCTCTTCTTCTCCTTCTCCTTCTTGTTCATTTTACTCTCATGTATCCTTGCCTTCTTAGCTTCAGGAGTTTCCTCTGGTTCCTCTTCAAGCTTTCTTTTCAAGTCTTCCGCTTCCTCCTCCTCCTTCTCTTCATACACATTACTGAATACATCCTCGTCCTCGTCCTCGTCCTCCTCGGCCTCCTGGGCAGCCTCCTGCTCCTTTTTCCACTTTCTGTACTCCTCCTTGCCCTTCAGGTTCTTCTTCTTAAGCTTCTCCTGCTTCTTTAACAATTTCTCCAAGGAGGCCTTGACGTTGATCTTCTCGTCCGGTTCCTCGTCCGAGATATCATCTCCGAGAGGAAAAACCCCGCTCTCAACATCCTTGAACATCTTGCTGAGGCGGTAGAGCAGGGTTCTGTTGGACTTCATGATTGTGTTCTGGGATCCGAGCTCGAACAATTGCTCAGAGATCTCCTTGTAGTTAATCTTTAGCTGGGGGATCTCGACATCCACTCGGCCGGCCCTAGGGTCCTCAGCCTTAACAGATTAAATGCAATTAGAATCCAGTTTTTTTTCAACCGAGGTCTTTTGGTTTGGATAACTTAAGATAAGATGAAGGAGGATCTCGACATCCAGTGGACAAACATATTTTTTAACTTTAATAATTTATTTTTGGATAAGGGTTGTGGGCACAAGCTCACGCATACAAATAAAAACGAAATATCAATAAATCTATTTCCAGTTTGTTATTAAAGTCTTTCTATTATTTTGTTCTGCTCAAGATCAGTTAAAAGTCATACACCCCAACGTTTTGTGTTGCGCCATTGTCTTATAAACTTGACCATGGGTAACCCTATAAACCGTAGTGAACACTTATTTTACGCGGGCTGATCTTGCTTTCTATTTTTCCTTAGGCTTAACTATTTGGTTTGGTTAATGATATGATTTTTGTTAATCGCATGTAGCGTTGATTTGCCAATGACTTGTAGAAAGCTGGATTTTCAAACATAATTGAGTTATGTTCTTTTGTCCTTTTCTCAGTCAGTCATAAAAAGTAAAAAAGAAATAAATAAGGGTTTTTTCCTTTTACCAGTGGACAAACATATGAATTGAGGTACAACTCATTAATTCAAGAAAAGTTGTCATTCATGGTTCGATATAATGCGTTTAATGTTTGGCTGTAAACGGTAAAGGTAGCCGACTGGCGGCTAGGCGTTGTAATCACAGAACTAATACACAGCATTTATTCCTTCTGATCATATAAACTGGTATAATTAGAGAAGGCTTCAATCACATCATAATTTTAAAACTTCAGAGAATATGCTTCTATCAACAATTCAGAATTGTCAGCAACCATTTTAAAAATAAAAAAACTAAACCTTTGGTTTGCTCGACACTTCCTCATCCAAATCCACATCCTCCTCATCGATATCTACTTCTTCCTCATCATCATCCTCGCCCTGGATGAGCTCGATGTTGCCGAGGGACTCAACCTCCTTCTCCATCTCCCACTCGATACCAGGGTCACTTTGTCTAGAAGAAAAAACATTGTTAACAAACCGAAATTCGGCCACCATTTTGTATTAACCCAGGTAGGTGTTGTTTGATTTACACTAGTTTGCGTATTTTTTATAATTGCGTATGGTGTACCTTAGAATATGATTAAATATTCTCTCAACAACATGATCTCTTAGTCTAGGTTCCCGGCCTTCAGAAACAATCTAAATCAAAAAAGGTGTATTCACAAAAATTCATAGATTTTCACAATGATAGGGCAAAGCAAGGATTTAAGAAAAACCGTAAAGCAGAAGTTCAACTGTGGACAATTTGTGAACATTTCACACGTACTTCCGGTAAGGAAGTCTGAAAAAGTTGTCCTACCTTAAGAAAGGGTTGAAGATATATATTGAGAACGGATTGATCAAGATTCTCTCCTCCAACCTTGGCCAATTCCTCCAGGAATATATCAGTGATATGCATCTGGAACCCTGAAGAAATATACATCAGAAATATTTTAGAGCCTACACCATGCAAGACTATGTTGGGAACCTAGCGTTGCCCAAGTTACTTCCGCCGTTTACCCGCGCTTGTTCTTAAATTACAAGTTAAGCTATTTTTCCCTATTATTAAAATCGACCCAATCAAATAAGAACTTCAAACCCATTCTAAGAACATTCCGGTGGTTTTCCCGAGTTCCCAAATCAAAATTTGAGACAAATCGGTCACGGGGTTCCTTAATTATGATCGAACAAACAAACTGAGATTACTACTTTATATATAGATACAGTTTAAAGTTACGCCAATACAATAAACACGCTCGTTCAAAATTCATAGAAGTCCAACATCTTCGAATTAACTCAGGAAAATTATGTATTTAAAGTGACTGACCTAAACTGGTGCTGTTAATATCTACGAGGATGAGGGTTTCACTGATGATATCCTTGATTTTGGAACACAGCTCCTCGTCCCAACCCTTCCTAGCATTGTACTTGAACACCTTAATAGTTGGATATATAATATAGAGGCAAATTCTTTATTCCCAGAAAAAGTGTGTCTAAATATATATCTTCGAATATTTGATTTTTTTACAAATAAAATCTACTAAAAACTAAAAAAAAATTATTAAAGGAACTTTCTCTAACTGATCATTGCAAATAATTTACACTCCTGTGTTTATAACACATATTAAATTTATGCACATTCGGACTCTTAACAGGGTGAAAAAATGACAAATATTTTAGAGCAATTCTGGTCCAGAGAGCTCAAATAGTACGATCCGGATACATGGACGTAAAAAAGTACTGATCCAGATACAGGGAGGATAAAGTACGGATCCAGCTACAGGGGGGTAAAAAATATGGATCTGGATACAAGAAGGTTAAAAATATACGAATCCGCATACAGGAAGGTGAAAAGTATGGATCCTGATACAGGAAGGTGATAAGTGCGGATCCAGATACAGTAAGGCTCCGGATACAAGGAGGAAACATTTGCGGATCCGGATCCAAGGGTCAAAATATAAACCAAAAAATGTAAACAAAAAAAACTTTTTGCTCTGATCGTTGACATTTCATATCTCTGAATGGTTTATCAATCTTTTAGCACTGGTTAGGATGAATTGGGGATTGCAAATTGTCTTTGTTTTTTTTTCAGGGGAAAACAATGACATTTTTTGGTAAAAGTACCATTAAGGATGAAAAAACATGCCTGTTGAGGTCCAATTTTTACACTACATCACCAAAAAGTTTACCCACTTCCCGGCTCATAAAATCATATACCCCTCTGTGTAGAAGTTAGTAATGACAGATTTAATGACTACCTGTCTGAGAAACCTCCTGGACATCATCATGAACTTATCCATTCTCCACTTGTCTATACCAAACCATTCACGTCCCATAGTCAAGAAGAAGGCTTTGATAAAACCCAGAGCAGACTCCTCGGTACAAAATGCATCTAGCAGTATTGGAATAAGAAATTAATTATGTATTTGTTCAAAATCCACCCCTGTCGGGAATGGTAGGAAAAAGAAAAAAATGATTTTGATTGAAAAAGGGGAATCATAATTTCCGCTTGATTTAAAGCATTGAGGGGTGGGGGGATAGAAGTACCTTTCCCATTGACTGTTCGTCACTATTGTTCGGGATAGTATTAAGTGTATTGTTAAAAGAATTGCCAAATCATTAATTATAAGTGAGATTAAAGGTTACCTATACAGGAAGCAATGTTAATCGCTAGTTCTTCTTGAACCAAAGGTTTATCTGACATCCAGTAGCAGTAAAACAAACCTTTCCATAACCTAAAAATTAATATCTATTTATAAACCTACTAGCAAGGGGGCGGGAAATAATAATTTCGGCCAGCATTTTTCATTTTTCGAGACTTTTTGTCGACTTCTTAAACATTCTTTTCAACCCCTTCCAGTAGGTATATAAATAGATAATATTTTTTAAAAACGGAGAGATTAGGCCGCTTCATCAAAGCTAGATCGTACGATTAAAAAATCCTACCAGGTGGATTTAGGCTAGATTATCTACCCTAATGATTTGCTTATTAGCGTCAGATTCTCAAAAGAATACAATTGTAGTTTTGATACAATCGACTAAATTCTAACTTTAGAAAAATCCATTTCTGAGTGATTAACTAATGAAACAGGTCTACCAATCTATGTTAAGGAGTCTAAACCCTTTAACTTGATCAAGAAAACTTATTGTAAAATTTTTCAAGAACGAAGTTAAAAAAATACATAAAGAGAAATGCTGAAATAACCTAGTAATTTTTGGACCCCCCCCCCTCTTTATCACTTTTGTACACGTATCTCATATGTAACACATGGAAATAATTGGTCACGAGGCCGCAGCGCCCGTCCCCCTAGCCTGTCCAAGCCGCAGCGCTCGGCCCAGAAATGGTCAACCTAACCTAACCCCAAAACAATAAGAAAATAACAATACTTTTGCAGAAAATTAGTGGTACTAGGACGGACCCGAAACCAAAACAATGAAACAATTTAATAAATAAATCAGTTGCGTTTGAAAGTCAAAAGATCTTCAAATTAAATTCTTTTTAATATTTTATTTATTGTTTAAATGATCAGTTCTTAACATGGTTCGGTATATTCCTAGAGAACGATTTTTTAAACCCCCCCCCCTCCTATCAATTTTGTACATGGGTCTGACAGGAAGTGTCTTAACTTGACCTAACCCGTGGCCGCAGCGTTCGGCCCC